CAATATGCTTCCTTTTGTCAATGGCAATTTAGATAGATATTTTGTCTGCAATTTTGCAATATTTTTTTCTTTTCCTTTCAGCTATTACAAATAGCCATAAATTATTCTTACTTCAAGAAAAATGGCATCAAAAAGAAGAATGCCGTTTAAAGCTCAAAAAAGCCATTTCAGGCTAAACGCTTGACTCTCAAACTGAACCCTCAGCCATACTTTTTTTATTGAGAAACTATAATTTGTAATGATTAATTAATTTCGACCTTTTCTAAAAAATACCCCCCCCCCCCCACACACTAGCAAATTCCAAGCTACCTGCATGCCAAAACAAAAAAACTATCTTTATTTAACTAAACAATTCTACATTATACATATAGAAATTTCCCGCAATTTTTAGGGTTGTTTCTCCCCCTTTCCGCCTGCCCCTTAGCTGTCTCAGAGCAGTTTTACTTTCTAACAAGACTGAAAACTTAGCAACATAAATTAGATTAGTTGAATGTTTTCCTTCCATTTCACAATTTTGTGAGTCCCACTGTATAAAAGTTATGAAATTGAAATTAAAGAGTTAGTAACCATTTACCTTCCTCATCCTCAATTTTAATTTTTTGGTATCTTGAGTTTTTTTTTAAGTATTAGTTTTTACTGTTTGATTACCTCAAATTAAAAAATATGTTTTTTACTAAACAAAAACATCAAATTGATTATTAGTGAAGCTTATGCTGAAATGAACTCGGAATGCATGACTTGATTTAGAGAAAATCAAATAGTTTTCAAGAAAACTTTTCTATTAAATGATGTTCCAGGGCCCAAAAGGCTATATAGCACAAATGTGTGAAGTACACCTGCAGTATGGAAACAGTACAACAAAATGGCCGTTTTACGCTTTTTTCAAGTAAACTCCACTCTATTTATAATCTATTCTCTTTGCCTGCAATAGTTTACAATACAAGTCCCCCCTCCTCCTCCGATCCTGCTTATATATAGACGTTATAAAGAAACAGCTTGAATTTATTTAAACGTAAATAAAAAGTTTGTATTCATGTCCGGCCAACTTGCTTCCGGAGCAGTTTTCTCAAATTCGTTTAGGAGGCTTGGGTAAAACTATAGATTTTCTCTTTTTATATCAATTGAGCTTTAAGGGACATTTGCATTCTTTTTATATCAATTAAGCTTTTTGATGCCATATCTCTGAAGTAAAAGAAATTTAAACATTTATGAAAGTAGCATAGCTTAAACCCACATTAAAGAGTTTTATGATGTATGATGTATTATTATTCCTCCATAAAGTTAAACAAAGGAAATATTGAAAGGCAATTTTTGTTTTGATGCAAATAGCTTCTCACTACTCAAATATTAGATCTTTTAGATCTATCAAAAAATACCTAATATTTGAGTAGATGTTCTCAATCGCATAAAGGGAACTAATAATAATCAGACATGTCTAAAAACAGGTGAAAAAACATTCAGACTTTTAGTCTTGATTCTTTAATTTAAATTTTTTTGAGGTTTTCATATCAAAACAGTTTTTTTACCTCTGACGCCTCCCTTTCTATACTTTTTTAATTCTGTGCCCCCCCCCCCATTGGAAAATTCTAGGTACGGGCCATGATGCTACTCTGGAATATATGGAAGACTCAAGTTTTGATTTTTTGAAAGGTCCAATGAACTCAATGAACATTTCTAGATGATGAAACACAGCAATTGTGCAGTGAAGGCCCATTTCACAGTCCTCACAGTACTAATTATACTTGGTTTGCAGGGGATATATGAAAATTGGAAAAGGGTTTAAGGTTTTTGAAACTTAAAAGGCACTTAAAAATATGGACATAAACTACTAATATATACTAGCTGTTTCCGGCCTCAGAAATATTGTAAAGCAAGGGGGAATTAAGGGGGTGATATATATGAACGGATACCATTATCCGATTCGTTAAACATTTTCTTGCATCTTTAATTTTGATGTCGACCTTAACAATCTTGAAGACGACATTTATTAACATGGTAGATATTTCTGGCGGGGAGAAATTTTACATTTGAAATTGATTGAGCTTTCAAAGCAAAAGTTTAATATATGGTACAATTTACGAATTCACGATGTCAAATATTTTACAAAATAATATTTTTAACAATTTCTTAAGTAAGATATACTTAAACTATAATATTTTGTATCTAATTGTTCAGTTTTTAAAAATTATAAAAATTGGACAATTGAGTGCGCCCCCCCCACAAATAGAATGAGGAANTCATCACGCCTTCTAGGGGTGGAAAAATGTTACAAAATTCAGAAGGATTTAAATACTACAACAAGAACGGACTTTATGTATGTCAATGTTAGGAAGTTATTAATGTTACTTTTTAGATGTAGTTACCAAACTGTCCATTTTATAATCAACATTTAACATTTCAGAGGATGCAGTGCTTGACCCCTAGCCTATCCTAGCCGCAGCGCTCGGCCCAGAAAGTGTCTTAACCTAACCTAAGTAAATACTAATTTACTAATTTCGTCATGTACAAAATTGATAGGAGGGGAGGGGCCTGGGGGGCGGTGGTCCAAAAATCGTTCACTAGGACAGACCCGACCACTTTAGGCTTGATCCGTTCAGAGATTTTAGCTTCCTGGATCCGTATCCGCAAAAATATGCGGAACCCCGGATCCAAGGGGCAAAATATCAACCAAAAACTACATATACAAACTTTTTTACTCTCAAAACCTAAATCTGAATTATTGAAAAATCTGAATGGTTCATCAGGTTTTAGCATAAAATTAACCGAAATAAAATAAAACAAAATTTGCAAATTCTGTTTTGTTAAAAATTCATTTAATCACAAAGAAATAATCTGGTTCCGGATCCATTTTTTCCAGAGCGGATTCAGGATCCGGATATGGATCTGCATCAAAATTAAGCACTGGTTCAGAGGAAATTTCCTAATAATATTTTTGATTCTAGAAACCATTGGAAAACCTATTCGTCCTATATCGAGGATGTGAGGTCAAAAATCAATGTTATAAATTATTACTTTTAATCAATTTAATTATTTGTTTTGTTCAGAATCCCCCCCCCATAGCCTAGTCGCAGTATAATGTACAGAACTGAACCGAACTTTAAGTTAATTAGAGCTTAAGTAGGAATTTTTGGAAATGTTAATTTTTGAGAAAGATTGCTATTGTAGAATGTCTTTCGGAATTGGAAAAAAAAATCGGAGAACCAGTTCAAATCTGTTTAAATTGTCATTTCAAAAACTAAAAACCTGTTTGAATACTTTGCGAGTTTACTATATGTTGAAATAAAGTAGTGTTCTCTGTTTGTGTTTTTTGTTTGTATGTCCGATCATGACTCAGGAACCCCTGGACCGATTTGCTTCACATTTTGACTGAGGAACTCGTCAGAACCAGGGGAATGTTCTTAACTTGTTAAAAATGTCTACGTTTGAGAATTGGCATTTATAACGAAAGATAGTTTCTAGGCAAAGCTGGGTCTCCAAGCTAGATTTAGATTTTTTTCCATTATTCAAAGCCAATTTGGACATCTTTCTTTTCTTTTGTTCATGAGATGCATTTTCAAATATTGCAATGAATCTTGATTAATTGCTAACTCGACAGAATTTCATACTTGTAGCATTGAGATATTTGATATTTTAGAATTGACATGAAAACCTAATTTTAAATTTACTATTTACCGATCACTAGGGGTGAATTCACCGAATAAAAACTATTTTCAAAGAAGGGGGGGGGGAGAAAGGGGTAGTGATGTTTTCAAGAAAATATACACTTTTGCAATTTACGCACATTACGTTGAAAAATTAACATTTCTTACTTGGGACTTAGTTTATGTAATGATTGCCTGGCGTAATTTATTTTTATGGGGCGAATTTGATTTTCATAAACATTTTGCAATTCCTGGAAGTTGTTTTAAAAAGATTTATCATTTTTTTGATACATGATTACTCTCCCTTCTGATTTTATCATGAAATCTACAAATTATTACAGCCCCCCCTCCCCTCCCTTTCCCTAAACCCTTTTCCTTTCCATCTGGTTTGTTGTGTTGTAACTAATTAGTTCTGATCAATAACAACCTCTAGCTTTACTCTTTTTTTTTCATTTCCACTTCTCCCGCATTGATCCTCTCAACCTAACCAAACCTCCCCTCCATCCGTTCCAGATTCCAGGTATTTAGTACCTTGACCTTTTATCCCCCCTCCCCTTTCAGGTATTTGGTCCTTTGACCTTGAATCCCCCCCTTCCCTAACAACGACCCTGGTCCAAAATAAAAGAGATATGTAAATTTTGTATCAAAATAATCTTGTTTTAAAGTGATTTCCATCAATGTATTCAATTGTTTTTTGAACAGAAAGTTGTCTGTTTTTGCACTTAGCTTAAAACATGAATGGTTCACATTACAGATTTTACAATTGCTATAGATAAGAATAAGAAAAGCACCTTAATGTAACAAAAAAAACCCAATTTTACGCATTTACTCAAATTCTATGTAAAATTTGTTAGTTTTAGGCTATAAATGTAATCCAGTTCTAGTTTAAAAATCATTATTTGGTTTTGAGTGAATAATTAATGATAATTAATTGAAGTGCACTCACTCATTAAACTGATATGCCAGGACATTCACAAACAGACATACGAGTATGCAGGGGTGTTTTTTTCTTGAAAATTATTCCACTCCTTCTCCCTTTCGAAAATACGTTTCCTCAAATAAACATTTTTAAAGGTTTGTTTTTTTTTCCGAAAGGAAAAAGAAAGATTTTTTTATGGAAAATAAAGTAAGTCGAATTTGTTTTTCCTTAGATACCCCATAAATCATTTGCCCCCCCCCCCCTGGAATTTAAATTTTAACCTATTCCTTAAGTTTCGCAAGAGTAATTAGGTCAAAATTTGTATTAAAAAAATTAAAGTATTTATTTATGGTGTAGCCTTATCAGTTTCTGCTACTAAATTACTAAATTATTACTTTTTAATAAAGAGAAAAAATGAATCAATTATTAACTCTGTTTAGGTATCTTGGACCCTATCAAGACTGAATTCGGAGCCAACAATGCAATGATGGGTTTACTACAGACTGCGTTTATTCTCAGCTACATGGTATTTGCACCTCTCTTCGGATACCTAGGTATTGATTTAAATTATTTAAGATTAGGACGCATTTGACGCGGATCAGTCGAGTCTTAGGAATTTAGACTATTTGAATTCTTGTCTAGAAAGACATTTTCAGGGCTTAATACCCTCCCCCTTTATGAATAAAAAATTTTTGCATTTTGCGTAAAGAAATATTTTTTAAAATTTCTTATTTTCCGCCTTTTTTACTCTTCTGTTTGTTGCGTAATTTCATTAAATACTTTTAGAAACAATTCTTCAAATTTAAATGCACATTTTTTTATTCAACCTTTATTTCTAAATCTTATTATTGAAATCGATGGTGTATCTTTAGACCTACGCAGATCCGGTCGACTTTACTTCTGACCTCCTCGCACGTGGTTTTACAGCAGCACCCGACCACCTATCCTGTCCTAGTCGCAGGGCTTAGCTCAGAAATTGACTTAACCTGACCTAACTTGAAATCTAAACAATGGTCCCAACCCCTATTGATGAAAATACATCTAGAAAGGGAAATAGTGGCCGAATTTTAAGAATTTGAGCGGCGGTTTAAATTTAAGCCGCGGCTTAAATTTGGTTGGTTCAAATCAAATGTTATAAGATTTAAGCCGGCGCTTAATTTAAACCGGGTTTTGGCAGATTTAAACCGCGGCTCAAATTCTTTAAATTCCATCTCAGGCAACATAATTTATTCTTGTTTTTAATTTAGGTGATCGTTATTCTCGGCGGTATATAATGGCTGGTGGAGTATTCTTGTGGTCCATTTTTACTCTCATTGGATCCTTTATGTCAGGACGCGAGGACCACAAGGTCGGTTTTTAACTTTAACTATAGACGTTATTAGAGTGGCCTGCCCGATTTACTATGGCACCCTTAAATTAATCAAGAATGAGTGAGATATTTATGTTTTTCTGTTTGAAAATTAATTATTTTCAATTGTGATTTCTTTAGAAAATTGTGAGAATTTTACACTTTTCAAGCTAGAAAAACGACTATATCTTCCAGATTATTGAGCTGATAAGAACTTAAAGGGTACCGTTGCCAAGCATACTAATCATGGAGGGAAAATACAATTTTAAAAATTTATGCAAGAAAAAAACTTGTTCAGATGTTGATGTGGGGGAACCCTGATTTCTGGGCGTTCCTTGGCTCCCGAGCTATGGTTGGTATTGGAGAAGCCAGCTACTCAACGATAGCTCCGACTATTATCTCGGATATGTTTGTCAAGGAAGCCAGGAGCCAGATGCTAGCTCTCTTCTACTTTGCTATTCCAGTCGGAAGGTAATGTTTAAGCAATAAAGATTATTTTGTTTAACAAATGTGCAATTTGGGCGACATTTTTTATTATTATGATTAATATTAAGAACCTTTGAGATTTACATTATTTCTATTGTGGTGAAAAACGAATTTCACCGACAAATAGAATTTGCAAGAGTCCAGTTGCCAAATCAGTTAAATAGATTATTACTGTGTTAATTTCATCCCTAAATTATATTAAAAGGATGACAAAGCTAGTCGTTAGATTTCCAATTTTTCATTTTTTCCAGATCAACAAAATTATAATTATACTCGAAATTATAAACCCCTGCAGATTTTTATCGCTTTTGAGATAGAAAAATTTTCGTCATTTGAATCTAAAAAAATCCGAAATGTCTAAAGCATTAATGAAATTTAAAATAATAATTATGAAACGAATATATTTGTTTAGTGGACTCGGATATATAGTTGGATCTAAGGGAGCTGAACTGGCGGGATCCTGGCAGTGGGGACTAAGGAACATTCTTCAACGAATTAAGATGCACCTGAAAAAATGTCCACTTTAAAAATCCATCAAATTGACCTAATTATTACAACTTTTTAACAGAGATAAAAAAACGAAATAGATCGAAAAATGTCCGGACTACCTTGAAAATAATTGTGAAATTTGAAAATTTTGGGTTAGCGCTTTGTCTCCGGGCCGCCGCTGTATACATAGTGGTGTGTAGCGCACTGAAGGCAGTCTGGGGGTTTCTACATTTCAAACTGATTTTTTTAATTATTTGACATGATTTGACTCCTCACCGCTTGTGTTGCACTGCAGGAATATTTTTCTGGGACAAGCTCACGGGCCCCCCCGCTTCGTATTATTTGTTGAAGAATTGATGTCACAGAGCAACCCCTGTCGCTGGAATAATTGCGGTCATCCTGATCCTTGTTCTCCTTGAGGATCCACCCCGAGGTCACAGTGAGGGACATGAACAACTTCAAGCACAGTCTTACACTGTAAATAATAAATATGTATTTATCAAGGGGGGGGATCAAATCTCGTTGACTTAAAATAATTATTTATTTGATTTAAAAAAAAATATTTCTGTGGGGGAAATGAGGGAAAAAACTTGTGAATTAAGGAACGATAACTTATTCAATATTCATCATGTTAGTAAAGAAACAAAAAAAATTTATGTCAGGGTTAATGTATTTTTTTCTAATGCTTTTTTTCTAATTCAAGTAAGCAAGGCAATATGTTAAGTTTGATCCGGATCCGTAAGCACAAACGGACATTTAGTGAAAATATTTTTTGGCAAACTGGTTTAATTTTTGATAAGATGAAAGTAGTTGTATTATTTATCTTTTATCTTTTTTTAGGAGGATTTGGCCGGGTTGGGTCGGAATATGACTTTTGTTCTCTCCACCCTGGCGTTCACCTGCGTCACGTTCTGCACTGGAGCTCTCTCCTGGTGGGGTCCTGTCTTCATTGAGAAGGCTGTACTCTCAGTACCCCCAGATCAAAGGTAAGATAAGACTGTTCTCACAATACACAAAGATCAAAGGTAGAACATGAATGTACTCTCTCTCTCTTAAGTGTTTTCCTTGTAATTTTTAATCAAATGGCAACATTTTTTTGATACACTTCCCAAAGATTCAATAGTTTTTTATTAAAATGAATTTTTAATAAAATCTGTTTTATTTCTAGAATTCTGGATCCAAGCAAGGTTGCTATTGTATTTGGAGCAGTAACTATGATGAGCGGAATTATTGGCGTTCCTCTTGGTATGTTCCTCTCAACTAAACTCAAGGTAAAAAATATAGAAGGAGCTTTTTTTAATCCACTCTTTCTCTGTAGACGCATTTTTATTTAAAACGTACCACCCTGTAATACGAAACGCTTATCAAATAATAGATAAAATTTTTATATTGAGCATGTGTTTTTATCTCTTAAAAACAAAATAATAATTTAGTTAATATACAGGCTCGGTTTCCCCGCGCGGATCCCATTATCTGTGGTTGTGGTATTCTTATCTCCGCTGTTCTCCTCACCCTTGGTATGGTTGTCTGTCAGAAGAATATCATCCTTGCGTTCATTCTTCTCTTCCTCGGGGAAATTGGTGAGTATTTTGAACCATTTTTCTGGGACACCCCGTCAGTTAAGATTTTTTTGTAAACGGATTCTAACTACCCTAACCACCAGGCCATACAACTTTTGGTAAAGGTCGTTTTTTTAGATACATTAGGTCGACCTTATGCAATGCATGGGTCGGTTCGTAGCACATTGACTCATTATTTACTCGTTATTCCTTTTAAAAAGGTATTTATATTCCTCTCATAACAATAAACAAAAAGAAAAAGTATTCGAGCAAAATTTTTCCCGAAGGAACAATTTTTGTAAGAGATAACGCTTAAATTCAGCGAATATACTTATTCAAAGCACAAACTCTTATATTGAGATAAATCTGGCAGAAATGACTCGTCAGAGCGTTGAAGTCACAGGTTTTAGATACAAAAGTTTTTCTCGCTGAGCTGGGAAATTTTGGAGACTCACAATCTCGATCACTTGATCTCGGTATATACAGTGGGCACTTTTAACTTGAGGATCAATGATTAATCTCTTCATTTCATTTATCCCTTCAGAGCTGGGAACTTTTGAATGGTGGATATCGGGATTAATGCTTGATCCTCTCTTTTTCTTAATCTCCAGATTAAATATTGCTTGTTTTCCTCATGAATTTGATCTCCAGATTAATTAACAGATCAGGATTAAGGATATCACATTCTAAAGTTTTCAGCTCAGGGTACACTTTTACTGCAGTATATTGATTAAAGATTCAATTAATCTGCAGATTAACAAATGATGTTAGCAGCTGTAAACGATAGAAAAAATTCCTTTATTCCACTTTGACCTTTACTGCACTTCTTTGCATTGGATATTGTAATACTTGATAATTATATTTCAGCGTTGAACCTGAACTGGAGTATAGTAGCGGATATGCTACTGTACGTTGTTGTACCAACCTGTCGGAGTACAGCTGAAGCTGTGCAGATCCTTTTCAGTCATGCTTTCGGAGATGCTGGATCACCATATCTCATTGGAGTGGTAAGATATCTTTATAGACCTTCTAGTTTGGTTGATTATGATTCATGTTATTTTGATGCAGATTTGGATTCGTCTTGAAAAAAATGGATTCTAAATTTAAGTGTTGCTAATATATTTTACGAAAAACAAATTTCTAAAATTTTCTTTTTTTTCTCGCTAATTTTATGTAAAAATTTAATATCTCATTCAATGATTAGGAAGTGTTTAATGATATCTAATTGACATTAACATGTGTTGTGGGTGTCATTTTCCACTTGGATTCGGATACAGCTGGAGCTAAAAAATGTTACGACCTTATGTATTCCGATTCTAAGCATAAGTTTTTCGTTCTTAAATATACGTTTCATGATAATATTGTTAATTTTACCAGTTGAGTAAACACGCAATAGTGTTCAAACAATTGTAAAATTAAAAATGTTGTTTGCAGATTTTCCTAATTCAATCCTGAAATTCACATTTTTAATTTGTGATCAATTTATTATTTAATTTTTGATCTTCATTTTGATTTGTTAAGATCGCTGACGGTTTAAAGAATTTTCTCGACACTACGGGAGATTTGTGCGTGAGCTCAGAAATCCTCGGCGTGGATCAGATCTTGAACAGTACACAACTAGTTCCCGGTGATTTCAACGCCACTGCGCTGCTGGAAGTTAGTGACGATTTGTCAAATATGTTGGAATCGTCAACAGTTTCATATCTTGGAAATGTAACATTACCATGCGCACAGGTATTTCATTAAAGATATTTTTAATTCTTTACTATTACCATAGATAAAGATAGATTGCACATAAGACGACATTTTTCATCTTAAAAGATAAACATGTACGAAGATGTTTTAAAGATATTCCTATTACATGGATTTATTTATTTATCTATGACTATTACTAATAAAGGAAAACATAATTATTAAATATGTTTCTGGCCTAATATTTTAGTCAACTCTTATATTTATCTTAATTTTTAATTCAGATTGAATATTCGGCAATGTTGTATTCGTTGTTAACGAATTCTGGAGTAGAAGTTATCGGCGGTCTTCTCTTCTTCGTGTCGGCGATTTTCCTTATCAAAGATAAACTTCTGTGTGAACAGGCGTCTATGGGTAAGCGTAAAGTTTTGTTGTTATCAACTGGAACTGTAGACGTAATTTTAAGTGGCCCCTGCTTGAAGAGGGGCATACTAAATTCACAACGGTACCCATTAAACCTTGGTCTGTGCGGAAATGATTTAGATAATTTTAGTTTTCTAAAACGTTCTAAAATTCTCTATAAAAGTATTTTCCGTTAAAGTAAAAAGAGATTTAATTGGTTTTTTCGGTAAAATTGGAAGGAAGAAAAGAGATAGGAGGATTATGTAGAATGTAGATGTGATGTAAATATGTTTGAAGGTGGGGGTGGTAGCTGTCATATCTTGTCTATCTAAAACCATTCATCTAACACTTTCTCTCTCCTCTCTGCTATCTGGTTGTTTAATGAGCACTATGATTTTGATGATTTATTAATGTTTATAATCCGCGATCACATAGGTAAAACAAACTCGCTTAAAATAAGCCAATTGCGGGAGGCTTAGTGGGATTTCTTAGGAACACTACATGGTATGTGTTCTTTTTACTGGTCGGGCTTGTACTACTCAAAATCCTTGTTCGATTTCAGGGTAAAAATAGCAAATAACAATTTACAAGATAAACAAACATAGATCTAAATTGAATGATAATTGATAAATTGATACATCATTAAATTAATAATTCTTGTTTTGGGATATAACCACCCCTAAACCAAGCCAACAATTTTAAACCACCCAGGCAGAGAAAAGATATAAATCCAAGCGTCAGATACAACTGGTGTATATAAAGGTATTCTAAGAAGGCATTCATGAAACAACAATACATCATTAAATCATAATATTTTGTTTGCTAGTTGTCATTTGTCATGTAAAAAGGTCGGCAATAATATAAAACATTTCTTTCTGATTTTTTAAAGTAAAATCCCAAACTGTAAGAATCCCAAATGAATGTTAACCAATGTTGGGATTGGAAGGATTGGGATTAGGATTAGGACTAGGAAGTTGGAATAGGTTGGACAGGGATCAATTGGGAATAGATAAAATAGGTTGGGAATTGGGATGGATACCAACTAAAGAGGAAGTTGGGATTGGGATTCAATGAATGTGAGGATGATAAAAGGGTTGGTAAATTGGGACCACAGTATTGGAAAGAGAATCAGCAAGATATAGAAGTTCAGAACAGAGATACAGATATAATAAAATACGTGTGTAAAGACCATGGAGAATATGTAGTTTAGTGGGTACAAATGTTAATAAGGGGTGAAGACGACATTTTGGAAGGAATTAGCGAATTACTGTTAAGTTGGGATAAGAGAGAGAAAAGAGTATAAAAATTATCATTAGAATCATTCAATACTCTGAAACAAGTAATTCATGGATTTTGGCAAAAGAGACAATTTCCTCGTTATTGCTGAGATTTAGATGTAAAGAGTAATTTTGTGAATCAATTTCCTCGTTATTGCTGAGATATAGATGTAAAGGGTACCGTTGTGAATCAATTTCCTCGTTATTGCTGAGATTTAAATGTAAAGGTTACCGTTGTGAATCAATTTTCTCATTATTGCTGAGATTTAAATGTAAAGGTTACAGTTGTGAATCAATTTCCTAGTTATTGCAAGCTGAGATTTAAATGTAAAGGTTACCGTTGTGAATCAATTTCCTCGTTATTGCTGAGATTTAAATGTAAAGGGTAAATTGTGAATAAATTTCCTCGTTATTGCTGAGATTTAAATGTAAAGGGTACCGTTGTGAATCAATTTCCTCGTTATTGCTGAGATATAGATTAAAGGGTACCGTTGTGAATCAATTTCCTCGTTATTGCTGAGATATAGATGTAAACTTGTAAAGGGTACCTCTGTGAATCAATTTCCTCGTTATTTCTGAGATATAGATGTAAAGGGTACCGTTGTGAATCAATTTCCTCGTTATTGTTGAGATATAGATTAAAGGGTACCGTTGTGAATCGGGAATAGCCAAGGGTCACCCCTACACAATTGGAAATTGCTCTGCTTGATTTTTTTTATTTCTTGAGTTAACGTATTTTGTATTCAGAATGTCGGCGAGAAAATGGACATGAAATTAAACTCATGCTTCCCTCCACTTCTCCTGAGGACAGCATAGGTAACTAGTGTTTTTAAAAATCAACGTGTTTCTTGAGATGGAATTTAAAGAATTTGAGCCGCAGTTTAAATCCGCCAAAACCCGGTTTAAATTATGCGCCGGCTTAAATCTTGAAACATTTGATACAATTTTAAGTGGAACCAACCATTTTTAAGCCGCGGCTTAAATTTAAACCGCCGCTCAAATTCTTTGAATTCAGCCATTGGTTGACTTTTTCAAGATTAGGAAAGGTTCCCCAAGACCCACTAACATGAGCATTGAGGGTTTACATTTTCAAAACAAAGTTTTTATTACATTTGAAGATAAGACTAATTTAATGGGTTAATAATAAATAATTTACGGTGCGCCTGAACAAAATCAAGACGTTTTAAATACTCCAGAAAAAGGTTGGTGGGGTTTGATAATATGAGTAAAATCATTGTGAAAAATGATTATCCTAACTTTTTTCATAGAGATCTTTTTGAGGAAACTCATGTTTTATGGATCTACTTGAACAAATTCCAACTGCTTTAGTTTGTTCCTTTTTAACCCATTTTTAATGCCAGATAGAACATTTTGTTAGCAGTACCAATTGAAAGAAAATTAAATTGTCTGCCGAAGAGCAAACTCATACTTTCATGTTTCTTGTTTATATCCAAAGATAATCATAATCAAAGTTTAGTTAAAGTTATTTCTAAATTTAAAATCTTAAAGGGAGTCTTCACGAAAAATGAAAGGGGGTATAGGCTTAGTGCGATAAAAAAAGCGCTTTTGATCGCTACTAATCTCACTTCTATCTGTTGCGTCTATAAGGAGAAAATTGTTTGGATTGGATTGGATTGGATTGGATTGGATTGGATTGGATTGGATTGGATTGGATTGGATTGGATATTTAAGAAAGTATCTATCAATGAATACTTAATGAATTGGGCGGTTTTTTATACTTTCTCCAAACATCCAATTATTTTTCCACTCACAAAAAAATTGAAAATAAATAAATTGATAAGGTTAAAAAATTATTTTTCCACAATTTCAGTAATAAGATACCTAAATAGGTTTAGTTCAGTTTGCATTTATTATACTTTGTATTTTTTGCATATTATTGGTAAACATTTTGCATATGTTTTCTCACAGGCATATTGTAAGAAACTCAAATTTTTAAATCATTACTTTTCTTACACGAACTCCATGTTGGGCTGGCCCTCATAGAAAATATAAACATAAATTTAACCAAAACTAAACTAATAGCGCTCATCTTATTAAGAAAGGGCTCAGTTTTTGGGGAACTAAATGATTTTTTAAAGAAAGTTTTTAACATAATTGTGTTTAAATCTTTGAATTGCATATTTATTGTTAAATATTATTCAAGGTGGAGATATCCCGTCTGATGACGAATTGCCCCAGCTCGTGGACAATAATTCGTCCAGATCTACTACTCCAGTTTAGTCCGGACGAACACTACCCCGCTCTAGTCCGGACGACCAAAGTTTCATCGCCGAGCGGTCTGAGACTTTACGTTGGGTCCTTTAAAAATTCCTTCAGTCCTTGGGTGCAATGATAATGCTGTTTTTTGAGAGAATTCGGCATCACTCTGACAAACGTCACCGTTCTCTAATAAAATCTTATAAATTTGGTAAATTTGGTAAAACTTTCCTACAATAATTTACTTACCATGATCAATGAGTCAAATTGAATTATTGTAAATATTGATTATTGCAAACCATAGTCGCAGTTCTGTACAGACACAGTACTGAGTGTGAGTACACTGAGCATTGTATGTACAGTGTACACTGTCATTGTATATGCACTTGTGTACTTAAGTAAAATGAATGTACACTGTACAGTTTTACACAGAAAGTACCTTCTATTATTGTATAACGTATATAGTGGATTGTATTTTGCATTGTACAATTATACAATCTTGAACGTATAGTTATCCTGTACAGTGTACACGGAATGTCATTACGATATGTAAAATAATATTAATATGTATTGTGCAATGTATTTAGAAGTAAAGTTTTTTAAAAACTAAACCTTGAACCAGTTTTTCCAACCCCCATATAATCTTTCTTCTGGTTCTCAATTTAAAAAAAAACAAAGTATCCCAGTTTTTGAGGTTTTTTTGTGTTCAGTCTTGATTTATAGTTAGAACTTTCATTTTTATTTTAATCAGTGGTTTCGTGAAGTAACCTTTTTTTACAACTGTGTATTTTCAATCTATCCAAAGTTTTTGAATCCTCAATGCTTCAGTTGTCTTATGTACATAAAAGTCAGCTTTATTCAATTCAATAATTTTCAAAGCATTAGTTTTTATCAAAAACCGTATTTTTTGTAAAAAAAAAAATACCTTTTTTGTCATGAAGTAGATAATTTCTTGATAGATCTTCCTGGAACTGACAAAATGATTTTAAATCTCAAAAGTTGAGCAACCAAAGGCCAAAGATTAGATCTCATGCTTTCGTGTTAAAATTGGTGTTTGATGTGAAACTTAATGTGTAAATTGTTACATTTAGAAAATTATCTGTTTTAACGTAGAATGATATTGAAAATTGGAAATAGTACATTTTGATGGTTAATATTTTTTCTTTATTTTTACATCGGCCTAACTTCTTGCGTTGTTTTATTTCAATTTGATCTTAATGTTTGGACCAGATTTGAATACGTCACACACAACAAAATGAGAAAGATTCTACGTTATTTAATGATACTAAATTACTAAAAGAGAAGTGGGAAAATAGACTTTTTTGAGTAATATATCAACTTTTTTCCCGTATTATGAAGTAGAAATTGGAAATAAACGTGAAAAATTTTAAACTTAAATCAAATCAATTTTTGTTTAAACTTTTTAATTACAAATTCATCAGGATTGAATTCAAGAAGAAAACGAAATTTCAAACCCGTTGAAAGTGAACATAAAGGTTGAAACATTGTTCTACAGGGTTGGTCCTCTTGTCATTATATTAAAAAGATCATTCTACACGACCTTCTTTTTGGAAGGTTATATCTAAAAAAACTTAAATTGTACTAAATGTGAATTTAAAATTGTGAATCGTGTCCTCTCCTGTGATCCCGATCATTTGATGTCGTAGTCAGCAAAACCTGCTCAGTTAATAATCACTAGTTTAGATATTTAATTTTATACAAAATGTGTAATAATATGGCGATTATAATAAATTCTCTTTTATTTAAATATAATTTATCATTTCAGAACATTTATAGAATGTGTGCAAAGAATTTGATGATAGGAGATTAAAGTAATTAATTTAATATGTTTCTTTGAAAAAACAAACAAATAAAAAGCGAGGAAAGGGGGCTGAATTTTGAACAAGCTCACCTTTATCTGATTTCATATCCAGGGGTGTTTATTTCTTAGAAAAATAATCCCCCCCTTTTAAAAATTTTTTCAAGGTTTTATTCGCTGAATTGAGTGAAATAAATTTTTTGGTTAAAACTAAAACAAATTNCCCCCCCGGGTCCTAGGGTTTAACTATATGCACTGTACTTGTGAAGAAATGTGGGTGTGCCGAATCCGTATTTAGTTGTTGGTCTGCTCACTACACACAGATTGGTCTTGTATCCTCTTCAAACCAAAAGTCTCGAAAAACTGATTAAAATTAAAAAAACGTGATTCAAAATTAACGGTTCAAAGTTCTCATTTCTGTTTTGGATACATTAAGGGTTTAAGCTTTCTTTAAAAAACTCAATCTGTCGTAAATAGTATCTTGTCCATAAATTCTGCCAGCCGGCGGCTTCCACTAATATCATAGGCATAAAATCTGCCACAAATAGTATCTTATTCTATAAACTAGTACATATTCATCTGTAGATGATGTTCTAGGTATATTTTTGTACAAATTATACTGCTGAGAATCTAACTGTATTCCAAGGATTTACAACGATTTAAGTATCTGCACTTGGATTCATGTAGTAAGCCTACAAAAGGCTTAGAACAGTTACTTCACCTTTTGTGAGAATGTTTTAATGTTGTTCATCTAGGACACTTCTGGTATATTTCTAATGATTGTAAAAACACGGGCAGCCGTAGTACCTTTGCATTTCTGAGCCGAGTCAACCTTTCCGGTCCCAGTTTGTACTGTACCTAGCTCTGTGGACAGGACTAGCCGGTGCAACAAGGTTGACGCGGTCAGGCTTTATGCTTCCAATAGGTTGAATTTATTTTTTCTAAAGGGGCAGAGGTGCGTGAAAAAGAATTCAATCAGTAAAGTCGCGTAGTGCTGTTAAACTAATCTGATATTCCCCTTTTTGTATTGCTTATTACCGTTAAATGTCAAACAAAGGAGTTTAACGGATCGAACTTAATTAAGAATTTCTCATTAAAAAGTACGTATTTTTTCAGCTTGACTTCAAAAAAGTATTAAATATGTTCTTGAGAAAAGCGTTGGAGTCTACAGAGAAAAAGAAAAATCATATGTGCATGTAAAAATAAAAAAGACGCGTTTTTTGAGACACTCTTATAAACAGGGCTGCCTAATTATTAGTTATTCCTATAATAGCAAACAAAAAACTTAATATAAAGTCTGAGAATTGATGAACTGTTAAAATTTTAACCCTGTGATGATACAGATATTAAAAAAACCTGTTTCTTATCAAGAGCTGAGAAGAATTTCATCCTTTTCAGTTGATTAGTGCACACATCGTAAGATCCTTTCGTTTTCCTTCTTTAAATGACTGTGTTAAATGTATACCCTATATCACATTAAAGGGACTGTAAGCGTAATTTTAAGTGACCCTTCATTTACAGAGATGCATGCCCAATTAACATCAGCACATTGTAAACTTTTGTCTGGACGAAAATTAATGATTTATTCTTGTTTTTCTATCTGAAAACTAGTGTACACAGGGCCGCTGTACAACATGGTTAGTTTAATATAAAGAGGTTGCCACGACAATTATCAAAATAGTCCGAAAACGAATTTCCAGAGTTGTTAAGTTGTTAAGCACTGAGTCACAACGGCGGCCTCAAATTTTGACTTTAGTCCAAAGAAAACTCCAAATAAATCCGTGTTCAGCTAGAAAACAAGGATAGCTTGTTCTTGCACTTGCAAAGCTTCAAAGGATACCGGACATGCCACAATATAAATGGACGGCCACTTGAAATTATATTTACAGTCCTTTTAAATGCTCACAGACTAACACAGAGTGCTCATACGCTAGTAAATGCAATGTTTTCCACAGCAGATTCCATTGTGTACATTTGAGTACACTGTACACGACCAATCAACAGACATCTGTATTCAGGGATAATTAAGGATCCTTTGAATACGGAATACAAAATCTTCAAAAATAACAGGGTTGGAAAACAGCCCAGTGGGTTTTATAGGGTTTTTTATGGGGGGGGGGGGGTTTAATTTTTCATTTGTTAAAACCTACAGGGTGTCCCACGAAACATGACAGTAGATGAATAGTTTAGAATGTCTTTTTCCTTTATTTGTTCAGTTGTTTGATACCTAAGATCAATAAAAATATTATAAGGGAGTCATGTTGTATTAAAATTGATTTCAAAGTAAAATATAATTAAGCAAAAGATTTGCTTAACTAAAAATAACTATTTATCAAATGTCATGTTTCCTGGGACAGCCTGTACTAAAACTTACTAATTCATTAAAATAAGACTATTTGGACAATAGATGAACATAGTAGTTAAGAAAAGAAATAATATTATGTGATAATGGGTACGCTATAATCATATAAAAATTATCTTTTAAATAGTAATTTTTCTCCCTTCTTCATGGGGGGTATACTGCAATTGTTTAATATTTTAGTTCTATGAATCTCAGAGTTCGTCTGGTTTATTCTTCACTTGGATATGTATTTCTGGTGTGGAGGGGGGGGGCTACTCAGACTAGTTGGTAATAATTAGTTGCTCAAGAAGGAAGACCACTGTCAAATACTAAAAAAAACTATGCTCACTTACTCACGTGAGAATAATCAAGGGATTGTATTTCCTTCTATCGCTTGAAAATTCTGTTGTAGTATTGTGTATCTTATTGACTTAAACAAAGTGAAGATGATCGATTTCTACAATTGTTTTCTACAATGGGATTTGTCTGGCTTTAAACTTAAAACTGTCCTGCTGGTAGAAAGCTAATAAACCACCAACTGTATACAGAGGAAACATCTTCAATACCAGTACTTCTTCATGACCTGGAGAAGAGGAGATGACTTAGATGAGTGACAAGGATGAATAGTTAAATTCATTCAATAGTCTTTTTCGGAATTATATTCAAACAATATTCTTATTAAAGATCATAGGGTTTAGTCACCACACAATAAATGAATACATTTGTCAGTTTTAGTAATACAAACTACCTAATAATCAATATCAATGATAGTAGACCTCATTTCTTGAAAAATGTATTGTTAAAACAGTGAAGATTAGGCTTAGAAAAAGAAAAATTCTAAAAAACCCAAAAAAATAATTTTAAGATGGAATTTTTAAAGTGGGTTTTATTATAAATTCATAAATTTTATGTTTCATGTTAGAAACGGGAGTATTTCTTTAAAAATTGTAAAACTTAACCCCTGAATGAGTATTATATGCAACAAGTTGCCGTTAGATGGCAGTCAAAAACCTTTCGTGGAAAAATAGCATGTCCTGCTTGACTATATCCTGTGAGAGAGTATGAGCAGTCTGTGTAAGTCTGTGTTCATATATTTTTGGTTGCATATATGTTGAGTTTGTATTCTGTCCAGGTATAAGCTGGGCTGTAGCTGGACGAAATGAAGCTCGTCTCCAACAAGTGTTATCAGCTGCTGGTCGAGCTGTATCAGCTGATCTGTCTAGTGTGCCAGTCCTGCTGTGTGATTGTGGAGATTCCAATTCTCTTATACAGATGGCGCGCAGAAGCAGAGTTCTTCTTAACTGTGTTGGACCGTACAGGTAGCTCAGAGCTTTCACTCTAAATTACGAAATAAAAAAAATCGCTATATTTAACAACAAATCGACTACATTTGACAAAAATCGCTTATTTGGCTTATCGCTCATCTAACTTTTGCTGTCAAATGAGCAATTTTTGTTCAAAATCTGCGATTTTTTAATTTCGTAATTTTGACTGTGAAATGAAAATGTTAAATTTATGCGAAATTACTTGTATGATATTGTGACCATGAGCTCCTTATAGTTTAAATTTTACTCCTAGTCCCATAAGTATGAGAAAACTAATTGATTGTTTGCATGAAATCAAAAACTTTTAATTCTTAATAATGATTACCAACATGAAAGATTTTTTTCTGGCATAAGTTTTATTTAAATTTGACGTGACATGATAATTCAAATCGTAAACACAAGCAAGCCTTCCTTATTGCTCCTAATTGCTTTTTTATTAAAGTCGGGACACGCACAACACACGTTTTAAATGGGCTGTAAGCGTAATTTCAAGTGACCCTCCATGAAAAGATGGCAACTGAACCCTTTAAGCTTTGTCTGATTAAATAAGAATTAGATATCAATGTTTATAATTAATAAAAACTGGTTAATTTCAATGAAGGGTTCACTACAAAAATGATTCGCGCATTTCTGTACTGCAGTAAAACGACAATATATTCTATATTATTTATCTAATAAATGTTTTAAGGGTTCCTTTGTGAATCGGGCATTGCCAATTTTGCGCTTGAATTTATATTTACAGTCCCTTTAAGGGCTGCCACAGTACCTAAATACAAAATATGAAGGGTGGAAAACAATTTTTGGTAGGAACAGTTTTAAAAATGATTTATTCATATGAAAATAAAACAGAAAAGCGGCATGTTTGATCTTTATATATATCGTTTACTTTAATTGGCAAGGGGAAGATCATGAAAGAATATTTATATTTACAATTATATCAACCGAAGATCAAGAAATAGAAGCTATAATTCAACCAAGCAACCTACCACATACATTCACTGGAAAAGGATAATTCATTAGGCGCTCTCTCCCGGTTTGCCCTACGTATAATCTGTACTTGTACTATACAGCTTGCTCTAGCTAGTTAAAAGTCGGCCCGATACTTGAAATGAACCAAAGTTTACAGTGATACAAGTTACCATATATTGGGTGCCTCTTGTCAAAAAGAGTTTAAACATGTAACAAAAACAGAATTCCATTATGTTATCCTTTACATATGATTATTACAATATTAAATTACTTTGAAAACAATTGTGTCATGAACAAAAATTTTATTATCATCTTAAATTTGATTATCAATATTTAGAAATTAATTTTTAATTTTCATTTTTCCTCATCGCAAAAATACTGTAATTATCTCATATGTAACCGCAGAAATATATTGTAAATTATTTAGGTAAAATTGACGCTCTAATTTACATTAAAATTTACAATTAAATTGACGCTCTAATTTACATTAAAATTTACAATTTGTTTGTTTGTGCGATGTTAAATGGAAAAAAGGAATTGGCAATTATATGATTCCAAGTCATAAGAACGTTAAATATTTGAACTGAACAGTTCGAAATTGAAAGATTTGAAATAAATGTTTGATTGTTCGCCTAGTGTGCAATATATTAATTAAAAACTATAAGATCAGGCGTCATTTTCAATTTAAAGTATGGAAGTAGGAAGTCCCTAAAAGTCTGATTTGATTTGATTTGATTTGATTTGATAGGCACCCCCCCCCTTTAATGCCATTGATTTTTAAAGCTCTTTTTAATGAATACAATGTTAGGTTCTTTGGTGAGGCCGTTGTGGAGGCTTGTGTTGAGGCCGGGGCCCATCATGTTGATATATCTGGAGAACCAGCTTTCCTAGAGAAAATGCAACTTAAATATCATCAGAAGGTAAAATTTTAGTGATAAAAAGGAGAATTTTGCTGCAAAGATATGGTTTAAATATCATGATTTACGGTTATTTTGATACATTGTTTTAAAGCTTAGAGACGGGTGAGGGGGCACTTGAAAGGATCAAAATATACATTATGAATGTAAAAATCATCATTTCATGGCTAGATGTTTATATTTTAACACTGAAGACCATATGCAGTATGCCTATGTCAGTGTTCAGGTACTTGTAATAATGTATATACATTATATATTGTATTATTCATATCCTCTATTATAATACTATTATATTACAAGATAAGTCATAAAAAAGTGTGATTAGTAGTATTATCACATTTTTGTTTTTCTTCGTCGTTTGGACGCAAAAAAAATGAAATGAATATTCCAAAACATTGGAAAAATACCATGCATAAAAATGTTATGAAAAAACATCGCCCTTTTCTCTCACCCTGCAAAATTGTACTCTTAATTAAGGCTGTGGAGAATGGAGTGTATGTGGTTGGATCCTGTGGTTTTGATTCAATACCCTCGGATCTTGGTCAAATCTGTGTCAGGAAGGAGATGAAGGGAGATCTCAACTCCGTGGAGACATTCCTCAGGAACATAGATACAGATACAGATACAGATACAGATACAGATACAGATACAGATACAGATTCACTTATGCAAAATGGGGAGTTGGAAGCCTTAAAGCCCCATCAGGTGGAGTCTTCCACAGTAGACCAGTCCACACAGCCGGTCGGGTAAAAAACCAGTATTGTTGTGCATGGCTCTATGCAGCGCTCTTCCAAACTGTGAAGCTCGGAGCCGCTATGAGAGATCCTCTTCCTAGCGCAGGCAGTAAGCAACTGTTTTAAACATTAATAATTAATTCATACTTGATCAGACATAGATTTTAAGTGTATCGTTGTAAATTGGTCTTTGCCATTTTTGCATGGAGACAACTTGAAATTACGCTTACAATCCCATCATCTATCTTTATTTCAGGAATTGAAATCGATCAGAAGATCTCTTTACCCAGAGAAACTTCCAAGCTCTAAGTACAAACTGAAAACTAGGTAATTTAATCAAGTAATCAATAAATTTATGATTTACAAAATATCCAGATGACAAATTAAAATTGATTTTTATATTCAGTTCATTGAAAATTAATGATCAGAAAATGTCAAATAATTGTAGGTAGTATTCCTTTATTTTGTAAAATGCGTTTAAAGATTTTTATTATTTTGCAATTGATTTTTTATGAAATTGTGTCTAAAATCATTTTACATACTTAAATAAAAAGTAGATAAAATTTTTTTTTCCATTTTATAAAACTTAAAATAAAAAATAAAAATTTGATAAAATATATTATTACACATCCTGGGTTGCATGTATTTCAAATGTTGTTTAGTCCTAAGGTTTTAACTTTTAAAGAGTTTGATAAGATTTAACTCGATTTTATAAAATCGATAGAGTAAATTTTCAAGCATATTCACAACATTAACTATAAGCGAAAAAGTGCTCGATCTGTGAAAAATCTTAAATAATATTTTATTTTATTTTGATTATTTTATGTCTCATTAGATAAAAAAAAAATCGCTTCATATTTTTCGATCACAAACGGATTTTCGCTAACAAAAGACATTTTTACTTTTTTCATTTTTTAGAGGAAAGATGTTTTGCGCACCGGAAGTGGATTCCTACTGCATGCCTTTCCTAGGCGCAGATAGATCAGTCATGCTCAGGTATTATTATATTATTATCATTATTATTATTATTTTATTATTTTTATTACTTTATCATTGATTATTTAGGATATTTCTGCGGTTTGTATTGCTAAAATAAACACAGATATCGATACAGAACAGATACAGATACAGATACAGATATGAATGATATGAAAGAATGTCTGCCCTTCAGCTGTATTTATGTATATAATATTAGTGTAAGTATTCCACCTCTACCAGGAGCTGCATTAAACTTTGGAACCTGGCAGAGCGCAATTTATGGGTTTGCTTACGCTCAGGTACCTCACACTTGGCAATATTGATACATTTACCATAGTCCTGAATCCGGAACCGGATAATCTGCTAATTTAAATCCAATTCTGTACTTTCTCCAACATCTTCAAAAATCATTCTTTTAAATCCGTAATTTAAATAAATTTACAGGGTTACTCATAAAAATGAGACTTTAATGACAACCTTAAAATCGTTTAATTACCCGATCTAAAGAATGAAAATAGTCTTCCGTCTTAAATAAGGCATTTCATTACTATACTAGATGATTAGACACAAGATTTGCATTGCAGGGAACCTACCAAGAATATATAATAAAACAAAGGGATGAAATTACGTTCTCGTCTCTGGAGTCTCATACATTGTGGTAACCTGTTTATAATCTGTTTAAAGGGACTGTAAGCGTAATTTCAAGTGACACTCCATGCAAAGATGGCAACGCTCGATACACAACGGTATCATTGAAACATTTATTTTGTGCGATGTTAAATGGAAAAAAGGAATTGGCAATTATATGATTCCAAGTCATAAGATCGTTAAATATTTGAACTGAACAGTTCGAAATTGAAAGATTTGAAATAAATGTTTGATTGTTCGCCTAGTGTGCAATATATTAATTAAAAACTATAAGATCAGGCGTCATTTTCAATTTAAAGTATGGAAGTAGGAAGTCCCTAAAAGTCTGATTTGATTTGATTTGATTTGATTTGATNTTTGATAAGATTTAACTCGATTTTATAAAATCGATAGAGTAAATTTTCAAGCATATTCACAACATTAACTATAAGCGAAAAAGTGCTCGATCTGTGAAAAATCTTAAATAATATTTTATTTTATGTCTCATTAGATAAAAAAAAAATTCGCTTCATATTTTTCGATCACAAACGGATTTTCGCTAACAAAAGACATTTTTACATTTTTCATTTTTTAGAGGAAAGATGTTTTACGCACCGGAAGTGGATTCCTACTGCATGCCGTTCCTAGGCGCAGATAGATCAGTCATGCTCAGGTATTATTGTATTATTATCATTATTATTATTATTTTATTATTTTTATTACTTTATCATTGATTTAAAGGTTGCAAGCCCTCAAGCAAAAATCGATGAGTATTTTGCCAATTACTTCTTAAAAACCAAAGTTAACAGCAAGTGCTTTATAGAGCTAAACTGTAAAGAGCTACAGAAAAGCATAAGTGAGTTAGATCAGTAAAATCAAAGCCTAAGGCGTTGCGACACTTCAAAGTCGACCCTGTCATAAAAATTGATGAGACTTTTTATAAGCAGTCTGAATCTTTGTGTTATATATATGAACAAGCATATTGGAAATTCTAAAATGGTTGAGTAAGCGTCGCAGAACAGCATTTACTGGCACCCGGCGCACCCTGGACTAACTACGTCTAGATGTGAATGTGATCGGTATCTTCAATTTTAACTCTTTAGCGTTTGGGTTTTGGTCTGTAATTCTACAACCTTTATATTTACAGAGCTGCCTTGCAATACTTTTTCGTTTGATTCGTATTCACCAGCAAAAAAAGTATAAAAAAGAAAAAGCGACAAATTGTGCTTATTTTGTCAATATGCTAAATCTGCTTGAGGGCGATCTTCTTTCGTGTAATAATTTTAGAATTTTTAATATTGCTTTCACTGCTATCATTTACATTTATCTGGATTTCTTAATTATTGAATTTTTTTAAGTTGTATTTTTGATCTTGACTGGCCATAACCCTGATGACAATTTTTTTCCAAAAAAAATGATTCTCCTCGGGACAAAGAGTTTATTTGAGGTTTTTTTTGTTAAAACATGATTTTCTGCATTCGATTTTGGGATATTTTGAACTTTTTTGAAACATTTTGAATGTTTGTCAGGACTCAAAGAGAGATTTACCACGGGAAAGAAGAAAATCCTGCACAAGTAAGTTCTGTTCAGTTTAAAATCAACAATTCTTATTCTTAAAATTGTTCGCCGTCTAAAAACCATTTATTTAAAAATGTACACAATAGATATGTTACTTTCCTTTCCCTTTTTTAGAATTGGGGGCCAAACACTTTGTTTTGTATATTTTTGTTTTTTATATTTTTTAGATAAATATACTTACCGACTTACAGATTAGGTTTGCAAATAATACTTATTTAGTATATTTCTGCGGTTTGTATTGCTAAAATGAATTTAGGATATTTCTGCGGTTTGTATTGCTAAAATGAATTTAGGATATTTCTGCGGTTTATATTGCTAAAATGAATTTAGGATATTTCTGCGGTTTGTATTCCTAAAATGAATTTAGGATATTTCTGCGGTTTGTATTGCTAAAATAAATTTAGGATATTTCTGCGGTTTGTATTGCTAAAATGAATTTAGGATATTTCTGCGGTTTGTATTCCTAAAATGAATTTAGGATATTTCTGCGGTTTGTATTCCTAAAATGAATTAAGGATATTTCTGCGGTTTGTATTGCTAAAACGAATTTAGGATATTTCTGCGGTTTATATTGCTAAAATAAATTTAGGATATTTCTGCGGTTTATATTGCTAAAATAAAAAGATATTTCTGCGGTTTGTATTGTTAAAATGAATTGCTATTTTACTGAACGATGATTTGTTACTCCTTCCTGATAATGTAAAAAAAAATTCTTTTCTTTTTTGAAAAAAGCTTAATATTAAAGGGAATATATAGAGTGGCATGTCCCATTCACAATTGTACCCTAAAAACCTTGAGATGTCTTTCTTTATTTTACGGAAAAATTCATTATTTTTACTGTTGTTTCGCTATTACAGTGAATCGCACATTTATGCTTCAGAGACAAGGAAGGACGTTGTCACTATTCAACACGTTTTTTCAAATTTTTTAACTATCTTATTGTTACTTAAATTGAGTTTTAAAGGGTACCATCGTGAATTTGACATGCCAATGTTTTATTAGATGATTACTTGAAAATCACGTTTACAATCCCTAGATAAACCGTGTGTCTAGGTTCAGTGCTATGTAGAGATGTCCCGCCTGAATATAATTCTAACAATGCTGGTTGGAATAGTATTCGGTATCCTAGCTTCATTCAAGTTCGGCAGGTTAAACACAGTCTTCTTAGTTTGGTTAAATTATTTAAAATTTTATAAGGAAAGACTGTAAATGTAAATTATAAACTTATAAGTGAAAACTCTGTAAATTGATATATACTCCATGTCAGATCTCTTTTGTAGATTACAAGTGAGAACTCTGTAAACCTATACATACTCTTTGTCAGGTCTCTTTTTTAGAGTTTAAGTGAGAACTCTGTAAGTTAATATATATGTTAGGTCTCTTCTGGAGAACTATCCCGGATTTTTCTCTCTGGGAGCAGTAAGCAAGCAAGGGGTACCGAAAGCAAAGGTACAGGGTTATAGTTTCTAATCACACTCAGCCACGCCCCCCTCCCCCCGCATAAAAATATAGATGTTTTATTGCTGGAAACAAAATTTTTAAGTAAACTTTTGTTTAACAATATAAATGCCTACTGCCAAGGAACGGTATGAACCTAACATAAGACTATAGGTTGAATGTTAATAATAATAATAAGACTTTTAAATCTTATGACTATATAAGATGTTTGAGATCGGAACATTTGTATTGATAATATCTTTAGAAAGCACTTATCAACATCGAGGAGTATGAAATAAAAGGGAGATATAACTGACGCGGCCCGCCTTCCATATGATTACACATGCTTTGCAGACGGTACTTCATTTTTATAACAAACATTTGTCTGATGTACAATTACCACGTATACAATAACCTATTCTTAATATTTCTTATACAAATTGAGTACCCGTCTGCAAAGCATGCATAATCATGTGGTAGGGCGGGCCGCTACCTTCCTTTTTTCATACTCCTTGTTCCACATCATTTGCGGGTTTTTTTTCTGAACATATATCTATAAAGATCGTTAGAGCAAAGCTTAACTATGATGCAGCTATTTAAAGAATCTAATACTTAAGCTATTATTAAATTAAATTACATGGTTAAGCGTTTTAGATTAATGCTATCTTAACCAAAAGTTTCGACCCCTGAACTGTTTCAGGCTGATGAAACTAACTTCACGATGACATTGTTGGGTAAAGGTTGGGATTATAAAGGAGATCATGATTCACCACCTAACAGGTACACAGTACACTGTACACAGTACACAGTACACAGTGCACTACTGTCCACTGTCCACTGTGCACAGTACACAGTGCACAGTGCACAGTACACAGTACACAGTACACAGTACACAGTACACAGTACACAGTACACAGTACACAGTGCACAGTACACAGTACACAGTACACAGTACAGACGTACACAGTAAACAGTACACAGTACACAGTACACAGTACACAGTACACAGTACACAGTGCACAGTGCACAGTACACAGTGCACAGTGCACATTGCACAGTGCACAGTAAACAGTAAACAGTAAACAGTACACTGTTCACAGTACACTGTTCACAGTACACTGATCACAGTACACTGTTCACAGTTTTTACCATATTTACCATATTTACCATATTTACCACATTTACCATGTTTACAATATTTTCTTGCAGGGTTGTAAAGACAATTGTGAAAGGGAAGAATGTCGGATACGGTGCTACTTGTGAATGCTTGGTTCAGGTAGAAAATATTTATTATTATTTGATTTTTTGAAAAGTTTTTTTTTCTAAAATAATAAAGAAAATATTGTATTTTAACATTTTTATTTATATTTTAGGCTGGTTTAGTGATTCTTCAAGAAATGGACAGGTAAGAAAAATATGTTGAGCTTTTGCAATACAAAATATAGTTTGCAAAATTGCAAACCAAATTTTCATTGTCAAAAGACTATTTCTCCCCCCCCTTTTTATACACTATTGGTCAACAGCGTACCATCTAACAGTTTTCAATCAAAATCTGGAATTTGGTAAGAGGCGTAAGAAAATATTTGGGCCGGGCGCCGCAGCAGCTATATCAGCAATCGGGGCGAACGCTGCAGCCCCAGTCATAAATGTGTTAAAACTAAATTTTTCAAGGGCGTTTTCAGGGGGCGTACAATGGCGTACCCAGCCCCCCTTAAATCTAATTTTCCCCTTTTGAAACCTCTGACAAATTTGAAGCCCCTTTAAATTTTTCAATAAAAGCATTTTCAAACTTGAATGAAAAAAGGGGGGCCACGAATCGCCTGTTTCTCTAGGATTCAAAAATAAATTTTCAGTATCAAAAAATAATTATCCTGAAATTTTGTTTAGGTTGCCAAGTGTAGGAGGAGTGTATACTCCTGGATTCGCTTTTGCTGAAACTACCCTGGTTGATCGTCTTCATAAACACGGAGTCACATTTGATACAACAATTCTTAACTAAATGTGAGAGGAGCCTTGGAGCTGGTGTGAGTCATCCTCAGATAAAAAAAAACGCAACTTGAAATCAACCCTGGTTCAAATGCATTTATGAAATTTAAGTAAATAAATATCAATGCTCCCTTTAAAAAATATATTTTACGTTTTTAAAGAATGTAACAATTGTGTTGTTTGATAAAAACATCGGGAATAGAAATGAAGAAAAACCTTCTAGCTTGAGTTTAGTGTTATGAGATTAACATGGAGCTGAAATCTTCATCTTGAAAATAAACATGTAATTAAATGCATTTATGAAAAAAAACTTTTAGATTTTAATCAATAAAATAAATTTTACGTTTTTAAAGAATGTAACATTTATAGAGTGGTTAGATAAAAAAAACAAATTGAGCAAACCCGTTCTCAATTTGTTAGAAAATTAGAGTTTACTGTTTATATATTACCAATGTGAAGAGATTCCTTTATAATTTAAATGTATATTTTTTTATTTGTATCCAAATAAAAACTTCAAGGTGGCTGAAATTTTTGTGGAAACTCGCAAACCTAAAACAACAAAAAAAGGCGACTTTAAATCACCGTAAAATAGCTTGAATTGTTCTTAGATTTTTTAGACTTTTAATATTTTTAGACTTTTGAAAGGCTTTAAGACCATCTGAGAAAGGTCACACAATTTAAAATTGTATTCTGTAGAAGTTTGCTTTAACATGCAAATTTGTTATCCTAGGTGAAAATATAAGGCGAATGTTTTTGTCTTACATGAAAGGTATTGAGTTGTAACTTTCAATATGTACTATCAGTACTATCAAAAAGTAATTAACACTGATCACAAGAAACTAATTTGTACCTATTGTTATCCCCACAGCGACTAGGGAATAGAAGGTACAGTTGTGATCATCTGGGAGATTAGATAAGGTGATCTTGCACTCAGGGTTGAAAAGGGAGGTATTTAAATGAGATTAAATCAGTTTATTTAATCTCTTTAGCGATTATTTTCTATGTGTTGATCAGACCTTTCGTAGGTCAGCTTTATCTTTAAGCTGTCTTCATCAAGAGAGAATGCAGCCAGGTCGGAGAGATCGCAGCTACAGAGGAGAGGCAGCAGCCACGGCGGAGAGCTTAGAGCTATGGCGGAGGTTTTGCAGCTACAGGGGAGACTTTGTAGCTAGATGAAGATCAGAGCAGCAGCTCAGGTTAGAGGGAGGAACAAATCCATCCGTCCCGGGGGGGTTAACCAGGTTTGTGGAGGATGAGTTTTATCAGGAAGATTATCTAGATAAACCAAGAATTACTTCGAGTTTCAAGTTAGATTAACTGAAATTTCTCAACTTTCCACCTGTTTTCCCTGTTCATATAGTTCAGAGTTCAGGTAGAACAGGTGTTGGCACGAGACTATTTTGTGGGTTCACTTTTATGAACATTGATAGATCTCTTAGTTTAGGATAGAGCTAGCGTTTGTTGGAGATCATAAAACAAGTATTTAAATGTTTAATAAAACTTGAGTGCACAACCTGGAGCTAACCGGATATAAGTGTGCCAAGTTCTATCCCATCATGGTCTGAGACAAAGGCCATACAATATTTTAGGCTAGGCTTATTTTATATAAAATCTAAGGTTTGGCAGTTTATATAAAATTCTTATTCTCAGCTAAAAGTCTATAATATATAGACTTCTCAGATAAAATTCTCAACTTAATAATAAAATGTATATATAGATAAGAATATCAGGAGCTTGATTTCTTTCTTCAGGGACACTTGCAAAGTCACCTCGTGAATTAACCGGAACAATATTCATTTAAAGATCATCAATCTTACAATTTGTTAGTTAAAATGTATCGAACGAATCTTAAGTGTGGTAATTAAACAATTGCCAAACTTGAATTATACAACAATAAGCTGTATGCAGGAATTGCAGAAGTAATAAGCCATATCACTGAATTTGAATAGGATGTTAAATATGTTTATTATATGTTCTGTGATTTTTTATATTTACAGTTTTATTTTTTGGTATATTTTTTCTTTTCCTCAATAACAAGCATATCAAACACTAAACAAATACGACAAAATAAAAAATGGCATAGTGAACTAAATGTGTTCTCAACATAGTGTTCTCTACAGAACAATAGGCATGTACACAGTATTCTTTAAAGAACAAAAGGTAAGTACATTGTGTTTTCTTCAGAACAATAGGTAGGTAAGTAAATAGTGTTATCTACGAAACAGTAGGTAAGCACAGAGTATTCTCATCAAAACAATAGGTAAGTATATAGTGTGCTCTACAAAGCAATGAGCAAGTATATAGTGTGCTCTACAAAGCAATAGGTAAGTATGTAGTGTGCTCTACAAAGCATTAGGCAAGTATATAGTGTGCTCTACAAAACAATAGGCAAGTATATAGTGTGCTCTACAAAACAATAGGCAAGTATATAGTGTGCTCTACAAAACATGCATGAAAACCCCCTGAAATCAATAGATTTCACTGATCCATATGACCATCCGACCTACAAAAATCTTAAGTACATCCAACCTACAAGCTGTGACGATCTGACTTACAAATAGTGACATCCGACAACACAAATGGTGACTCAGACCTATACAAATGGTGACCATCAGACAGCTGTACAAAAAGTGCTCGATCCGACCTGCAAAAAGGGTTCATCCAACCTACTTAAATGATGACCATCCAACTCATCCGACCATACAAAAAGTGTGCATCCGACTTATATGTATACAAATGATGACCATCCTCGACCTAAAAAAGTGTGCATCCGACCTACAAATGATGACCATTCGACTCATCCGAGATATACAAAAAGTGTGCATCCTACTTATATATATATGTCTATTATACAAATGATGACCATCCGACCTACAAATGATGACCATCCGACCTACAAAAAGTGAACATCCGACCTACAATTTAGTGACCATCCATGAACTACAAAATGTGTAAATCCGCCTACAAAAAGAGTGCACATATCCTACCTACTCTCGCATGGTTAGATTTCTATCATGTCACGTCTGTTATAGGTCCGATTAACAAAAAGAATAGTGCATCCGACCTACAGCTGTGGTAGGTTGGATAATTGCATTAGTTCAGAAGTTCAGTAAAAAATAAAACTTTTTTAATGTCGTCTTAAAAATGTAATTTGAAAATGGCGCGGAAAATAATTTATGTTTGAATGGCACGCCATTGGTCGAACAAATTAAAACTAGTTTTTCCTAACGTGGCGGCGCCGTTTGCATCAGTGTCGATCCAAAAAAAAATAAAGACCAGTTAATCAAATCAATTTTAGTTGTGTAATTTAGTGAAATTAAAAAGAAGATATTCTTTTTCAGAGTGAAATTGTTTTAGAAGGGGCGGGTAGGAATTTCACAAACTAAAATGGACATTTTGAATGAAGCAACAAAGGAAGTACTATTCGGTGGAATCGCAGGTTTCAATTAAATGACATTTAAAGTATTGGGGGAGGGGGGGAGGGTTAAAAAGAATTTAAAGCAGCGCCTATAAAATCTAAACGGCCTTAAAGTGATGTCAGATCTCAAACAAGATCAAATACAATTACAGTCGTAAAAAAATTAAACACCAAAATAAGCGTCTTACGATAATAGTATGAAAACGTAATCGACACTTTTATTAATTCTGAACATTCTTTCATTTTAAAATCCAAAATGGCTTTATTAAGGTTTTGCAGCTGGCTATGTGAGCAGGAAAGCTGGGAATCAGGTTAACATATTCAATTATTGGGTCCTCCACTTGACCGCCACACATATCTATTCTCGAGCCCCTCTCTTTTCATGTTTGCACCCTGTCCCCCCCTCCTTTTAAGCCGGAGAAACCCATGATTCGACCTACACAGGACGATGCCAGTTTTGCTCAGCACATGAAGCGGAAAGCTAAAAAAGAAGCTTTTACCCTAAGTAGAAGAGTTGAAGATTTTACTCAGGAGAATGTTCTAATTCTGGGCGGGTTCACCGGCTTCTATCTCCTGGGTCAGAGCGCTGGATTATGATGAATATAAATCTAGATATTTCTGTAGTTTTTCCTTACGCCTTGTATTCAAATTTACCTGTAGATATCTGTTATTACATGAGCATTCATCTTTAGTTTAGATCAACAATAGTTTGTCAGCTTCTACCATGCCGTAGAAATAGTTATATTTAGATCAAATATTTATTAGAAATATATTTCAGACTCAACACACACAGTTAAAATGGGAAGTAAAATGGATATGAGCCTAGATGATATCATCGCCGCTGGGCGTAAAGGCGGAAGCGGAGGGAAAAGTGGAGGCGGCGGAGGTGGTGGTGGACGTCGAGGGGGTGGTGGCCGTCCTCGTGGCCGAGGAGATCGTAGATCCGGAGGTGGTGGCGGTGGTAGAAGAAACGGAGCCCCCAGAAGTAGATCACTAGGTAATTATTATCATTAACTCAAAATTTCAAACATTTGTTTGGCCATTGATTCGGACAAAATTGACTGGGCGGTCAATTTTGACCGATGCCGAGACGGATGCTTTTAAAAATATTTAAATTACGATAGTTAATAATGAAATCTTTAAAATTAGATTAAAATGTGTAAAAAAGAACTCTTAAGGTGTCAATCTATTTTTTGTCTTATTAATTTAACGTGAATATTTAAAGGTGGTATTTTTGCTATTTAAAAAAGATTCCCCCAGTGCTTAGGATCAAAGAGAATAGTATATATATTAGTGTATTAGTGTATATATATCAAATATAAATCAAATGATGTTTTTTATTCACCTAATTCATTTTATAAAGTCTATTTTACAGTTTTAAGCAATTCGAAATTGAAATGGATAATCTAGGGAACATACTGTATTAATGTACTCTACTGCATATAATTTGTGAACATTTACATGATTTGTACACTTTGTTGAACTCCCTTTCAGGTTAAAAGGGATTGAAAATATTCATACCGAGGGATTGTCTAAATTCCACTCTAATAAATATTCTATTTTCTTTGCGTAGGATCCGGATCCAATGGAACCGCAAGATTTTGGCTTTCTTGGTCCATTCGGATCCAAGGGGAAAATTTGCGAAAAAAGAAGAAAAGTAATTTGATAATTTTGCTTGGTTAAACAAAATTCCCTAAATATTTAAGAAATCTTCATGACAAGGATCCGGATCCAATATTTTAGTGCCCTGAAATTGTAACAAGAGCACCTTTCAAAAAGAAAGCGAAAGTATATTTATGTATGTCGATAAAAGAGTTGTTATAATATAGGTTGACATTTTTAATAATTTTTCATGAATTCAGTTTAAATTTAATCGGATAAACAGCAGGCTCTAAAGAGAACTTGTATACGGCAGGTTAATTCCCTTTTTTTAGGGCAGAGTGACGGATACACCAGAGGAAATGTCGACGGTAAATGGTCTCACGACATGTTCAGCGGAGCCCGTGGAGCTGTCGGCGGAATGGGAGACGGAGCTCTTAGAGCGTTCACCTCCGCCCTGGCCTCCTCATCAGGACCTGGTAAACTGCTGGTGAGCAACCTGGACTACGGAGTGAGTGAGGCAGATATTCACGAATTATTCTCCGAGTTTGGAAGTCTGAAGATTGCGACCATACATTACGATAAATCTGGTAGAAGTCTCGGCACAGCAGAGGTCTCATATGACAAGCGTAGTGATGCCGTTAAAGGTACGTCAAACAGTTTTGTAACATTTAGAAAAGTATCTAGTTCTGAGTATGTTTTTTTTTCAGCTATGAAGCAATACAACGGAGTACCTCTGGACGGAAAAGCTATGAAGATTGAGATTGCCGGATCTGAAAGTGAACCTGTTGCCCCCTTACGCAGAGCTTCCGGTGGCGGTGTTGCCGCCAACCGTCTAGGGCGGCGGGAAGACCGACCTCGTAACAGCGGCGGTGGTGGTGGGGGACGTGTAGGCAGCGGAAGAGCTAGGAACAGTCGTGGCCTGCAATTATTCTTTTTTAAAGGGGTTTCGTTGATCTGAATTCTTATGTATGTACAAAATCTTGTTTTTATTCCAAAACTTTTTTACTTGTTTGATTGATGTACTTAAGTTACAGAACGCTTTTCTTTAACAATTTTAACTTTCAAGTGTTGCCCATCAAGTTCCCATTTTTCTCCATTCTAAATACAAATTTATTTATATTATAATTTATTTTCGTGCATTTTCAATGTAAGAATTGTCGACATTTTTTCCCAGACAAAATTTGTCTAATGTTTTAGCTGTTCATACGTTCATTGGGTACTTACAAAAGTATATTTATAAAAAAGAAGATTACAGTTTATTATTATCATGGCGTAATTAGAGCTTTTAAATTTTATAATTAATTCAGTGCGATTGTCCCTGATCATTACTTAAAACAAACGTTGGCATAAATACGGAAACAATTCGTGTCAAATTATAAACTCAATTTTTTTTCAGTTACTAGGTCTAGCGTTAGGAGGAGGATTTGTAGCATTTCGTGCAGCTGTTTACGATGGAGAATACCTGGCTACGTGGTCACCTTTAGCAAAGGAATAGATCTAATCACAAAAGTTTTTTATTATTTAATTTAGAATTTTCCAAAATGGTAGAGGGAGAAGAAGGAGGAACCGTCGAAGGACGCCCTGGACGCCGAGATGGAAGAGTACATGAAGTCCAAAGCTTGATCCTTGTGTACATAACCTGTACATATACATTTAAATATTCTTACTTTTCATCTAACAACGCGTTTAGTTTTTTTGTATTGTATTCACTACTGGGCATTTAACTTCTCCTTCTTCACATTTAATCAAATGCTCAATTCTACTAAACGATAAAAACTAAAAGTGAATCTTACGACATTGAAAAGAAAATCATTTAGCTCGGCTTCAAATCATGTACGCTGTACACTGGTGCGTAATGTTAGACGATGTTGTACACTGTACCTTAAATTAAACTACGAATTGAACAGTTTCTATGTTTCCAGATTTAAAAGAAAATGGCGCTGCCATGAACCTGAGTGTGCTGAACTCTCTAGTATCTGCTGTAAAACAGTTCTTTATTAACATATTCTTCTCCCCTCCAAAGGTAAGTTAGTAACAACTTGAAACTAATCAAATATTATCAATTCTAGTTTTATAAAATACATTATCGAACAAAAAAATTCAAACAAAGGCCAAAATGTTTCTCGTGATTTTAAATGAAAGTTGTTTAAAAATCCTTAATTTAGTTTAAGCATTATATGGAAAATAGTACCGGTGTCAGTCCTACTTACACCGGTACTATTTAAACCTTGATCTGATCAAGGAATATTGAGATTTCCTTGTTTATCTGGCTGCAAAGAAGGAAACCAACGAAATCAAAAAAAAATGAGAAAAACGACGATATCTTCGTCAGATAAAGAGCTGAACAGTCTGAATCGGACATACAGTTTTAAATAGTGGGTCATTTGAACATTAAGTCGACGGTTTTTTATATTCCTTTCGAAATTAAGATTCAAACAAAGAAACAAGTCTTCCATGTGAATTTTCAAAATATTTTGTGATCAAATTTCAAAAATGAATAAAATATTGATTTGCTAGGGAGAATATTTGTATCCAAGATGCGGAGAGGATGTTCTAGAAATTCTTACTCAAGCCAGAGACAACAAAACTCAGGTGACATATTTAAAATAAAGAGTCGAAGTTTGATAAAAATTATCTAAAGCGTGCTTTGAGTAAAACGTGAGTTTTTTTGTGTTGGGGGGAGGGGATAATGACAAGTTGAAGCCAGGAAGTTGAATTTTATTTTTTATTTTGAATGGCGGGGGGGGGGGAATTTCTAATTGATATATACTCTTGATTTAAAGTTAGCCGCGACTGAATTTTTTACCCACAAATTATTTTTATTCCCTTTCGTAAACAAACTTGTACTGTTTCTGTACACATTTAGATAATTTTTTGAATTTTTCCTTTCTCTGAAGGTGAAAGTTGTTGGAGGGAGTTTTCCTCTGTCCTCCGAGTCTCCCGAGGACGTTATCCTCAACCTCAATCTTATGAACAAACTCATCGGGCTGGATGTTCATCAGCAAACGTAAGTAATATGGACACATTCACTCCCCCACCCTCTACCGACCCTTCTCTTAAAAAATACATTTTTAATTTTTTTATTCCCATAAATGGAAAAGTTTATCTTAATCTAAAGATTTTTTAAGTTTGTACAAATAAAAAAAATAATTATATTTTCAGTGTGATAGCTGAGCCTGGGATGTTGTTATCTCATCTCAGCGCTTTATTGGAGACGGTCAACCTATCCCTGGATTTAGCAGGTAAACCTTGATCAACTTCTCTACTAGACACGGTCAACCTGTTCCTGGATTTAGCAGGTAAACCTTGATCAACTTCTCTACTATATGAAATTATAATTCGTACCAATGATTTAGAAAATCGAGGTTCAATTCTCCCCCGGTCAAATCAGGTTAAAATAATCAAGGTTCCCATAAACATAGGTATGATTGGAATATTTTTTTTTGTATATTTACACTTGAAGTTGGAGCTCTCTGAAGTAGCTTGAAACATATTTTTATTTCTCTGTACAGAAACATCTGATAGAATTAATTGTGGTGCCAAACTATAAATATATATTTAAGGGGAGTGTTCGCTCTTGAGCATAAAGTGTTTTCAACCTTTTCTTTTTATAAACGCAACAGATGGAAGTAAAACTAGTAGCGATTAACATTTTTTTGGGAACACTCCCTTTAAGTTTTGTATCATTTCCTTAGAAATGGTTATTTTAGGTACGGTTCCTGATTTATCAATTGTAGATGCCATAGCAGTAGGATTAGCGGGTAAGCAATTATATCTTCGTTTTTCTAGCAAGAAAAGTGTCAAGTTCTTTCGACTTCCTCAAATTATTTCTGTAGCAAAATTCACTTTTATATAGAAACCACAATTAAACATAGTCGACATTTTAAAAGAATTCATGAATATCTCATTCATTCCTGATAATACATTGTCTTTCAGGGTTCAATTGTGAATCAGACATTTGTAACTACGTTTATAGTCCCTTTAAATTTGTGTCAACCTCTTCGAACCATAATAACCCCTGATTTTCAAGCAATTTGCATTCAGAAGTAACTAATATTTGTATTCAGGATGTGGCGGAACTCTGGCAAAGAACATTCTAAGTGTGGAGGTAGCTCTCCCCGGGGCGGACGGTGGAAGGAGCCGGAGGGCAGAGCTTAACTCTTGGTCTTGGACCACCAACCCGGCCCAGATGTCTGCCTTGTTCAGTGGACTCGGCCTGGTGGCGGTTGTTATCGCCGTCACATTTAAATGTATTCCGTTATATAGGTAAATTATTCTAGAATATGACGACTTAAAGATTAATTTATCAAGGCTCTTATCGTATATCAGTTACTTATTAAAAAGCCTTTATTTATTCTTCTTATTTTTATAAAAGTGATAAAAGTCGTTTAGTTGCAAATCTTATCTGTGCTGTATTTGTTCACTGAATATTGTTCTGTTGTGCAGAGTGACCGAGGTTTCGTACCTAACCTCTCTCCGTGATATTCTGGAGACCTGGAGTCTAGTTCATAGAACCAGTTTCTCCCAACAACTAATCTGGTATCCATTCTCAGAGCTGGTTATTCTCACACATACTTCTAATCTGAATAGGTAACTTTCAGATGGCTGTTTTAAAAAAGAAATAAAAAATATGATATTCAGCGAATTAAATCTTAAAGATTATTTAGCAAAAAATGCATCATCCAGGGGAAAAAAATTTTCCTGGGGGAGGGGGTTAGTTTCTTACGAAAAAATATACCCCTTAGTTATTCATATATAATTGTTTAGGAATGTTGCGATTGCGCAATCTTTTATAAACCGTCAATTCTCCAATACAAGTCGAGCTGTTGCTAGATTTATTAGAAAAATAAATCTTTTTCTATTCTCAAGGTAAATTCTCAAATAATAAATACTATGGTTTTAAAAACAAGGCTCACTTCATTATAATGTTCAGACCAACTGGAAAAATGTTGGGAAAATGTTTGGATTTTAGTAGTATATGGAACGTTTTAGAGCTCTAAGGACAACTTCAAGGTTCCCTCTGAGTTTTTTTAAAGCATTTCTGATAACGTTTTTTGTTAAATTTTGGTTTTCAGTGGTTTTTTCCCTTCCCCTTTTCCCTTCCCCTTTTCCCTTCCCTTTTTCCGTTTCTCTTCCCCTTTTCCCTTCCTTCTTTATTATTATTATTATTATTATTATTATTATTATTATTACTTCGGAAGAAAGCACCAAACACTGAAAAAAATTGTTCTTATATTTCAGTGCCCCGATATTAAGTTCTGTTCTTGCAAGGATTCAGTTCATATCTCTTTGGTCCGTCGCTAAGAACCGGAGTGACTACGCTCATCCTTCCGTCTCCTACATCGACTGTGATATATTACGTGGCGCCACCTGGCTCCTACCCCTTGCATCCCTGCCTCCCCTCCTCTGCAGCATATCCCAGTGGTCGCACTCCCACCCTGCTGTAGTCTCCTCCCCCCTCCTCATCTACACTATCCAGGGGGAGGGGGAGGGAAGGGTTGGACTAGCCCCCTATCTTCAGCCAAGTATAGAGGGTAAAGGTGCTGCTGCCACTGTTTGGTATGATTGGTTTCTCTCAGATTCCTCCCCTGATCCTCTAGAGCTGGCGCAGTTCGAGGAAATGTTTCATAGTTAAATATTCGGGAAAATCTTAAACATCAAGCTTGGTTTGGCTTTTTAATCACATTTCATTAATAAGAGGTTGGGGGAGAGGGGAGTGCAGTTGGGTTGTTACTGAAAGCCTCCAATATCTGTTGTCTAGGTGAAGGCGGAAGTAGATCCCGACTTCCTACTTAGTTCCGGATATGTCCAAGGAACTGTCTGGGTTCAACCAAAACAGAAGCAGAAATCGCAAACTCCAAGAGACGGAGCCGGAGACAAGACTAAAAAACTTAACACTAGTCATTAGAAATTTATTTTAATTATTAATTATAAAGGGAAAGGGGTGCAATTTAAATTAGCATTACAGTGCCAGTAAACTTCACAGCGGTCCCATCAACCTTAACCCTTTAGTCATAGTTTTTGTCTCTTGCGACTTTTCACAGCTGTGGCAGAGAAATGTGCGAGACACTTTGTTTGAAAATCCGCGTTCAAGTATTTAATATAAAATTTGGAAATATCTCCTATTGTTGTAAATAATAGTCTAGAAATGAAAGAGCTATCTAAAATGAAATCAATATTCCAACTTCTAGTCAAACACATACTGAGATAAAAATCGACTAGAGCTTAGTAACTGAAACTGCAATCTTCCAATTTAATTAACTTTGACTAAAGTGTCATTATCACCTTACTGATAATAGTTTTTTATTTTGTCGTTCAAATCTCCGAAATATGGATGTGGGGGGGGGGGATTAATGAAAATATAATCCTCTTTAAAACTTAACAGTGGCCAAAATTTTAATCTTGTTACATGAAACATTGACTTAACTAAAAAATTTAATTTACAAAATAGATTTTACATTGCACATTAATGTTTCTATATTACAGACACAATATGGGGGAGAATTGTCCTTTATGCAAGATGGATGTAGAATGTTTAAAGGTCCACTGGAGAATTAATCATAAAAAGCTCGAGTTCTCTCCAGGAAAAGTAAACCTGGGGTTTAAAGGGGGAAAGAAACACAAAAAGAAAGAGAGAATAAAATGCCCGCTTTGTCAGAAAAAAGTGAAAAACCTTGATCAACACAAGTATCAAGTTCATCCTATCCGAGCTGAACCAACTCCATTTATTGAACTAAACACTGAACAGGAATCCTCCCCGATTACTCAACATAATTTAGAGTTTATTAGAATAGTGAATTCAATATTACTTAAGAAGAAACGAATAGGATTGAAGCGACAGATCGGGAAACGATATCCATTTCTTCCTCTTTATACGAGGAACTCAGACGTTTTTGAGCCAAATATCAAATGTGAAGACATAAACATGGAAATAGATAAATTGGATAGTGTTAGGTAATTTTTTACATTTATAGATTTGCATATTCTATTTCACAACTGTACCATATAACCCCTTTTCTGACCAATAACGACGGAGATATTTTTTTTTGTGACTGAAAATTGGGTGCCTGGAAATCCAGTTTTACTTCGTACAATTTACGCTACGAAACATTCAATTTTAAAGAGTAAATAGTATCATCGTCGACTGTTATTTTAAAGGATTATTGATTTGAATTGAAAATTCCATGAAATTACGTATACTGTGAAAGTCAAGAGTCTTGTTTTAAAAGTGTGATGTGACGCGACCCTCTTTATTTCTTGTATTTTAGTCATCAAGAAAATGTTAAAGTTATATCTTTAGGTTAATTAAGGATCTTGTGATTGGGATGGATATAAAGGAGAGACTAGTGTGTTACGGTCTGTTCTTCAAAAATCTGCCTTTATCTGATGATATAGTTAGGGTAGGTAGAAATATTTTATAATCTGAATATTATGTTGGAGCTTTATGTTTTATGGTATGTTTTTTCTTCTCAATTATTCATTGGGTAGGTTAATGGCTACTATCAGATTCATTTACAACTGAAATTTAGAGTCGGTTTCTATCTCGTCAATTTAAAGCAGCTAATTATGGGTTTAAAAGTACAGTGTCTTGTCTGATAGGTTGCTATCTCAGCTGTTAGTCTTGATGTAACAAAATAACAGAAAATCGTAAGATATACAATTTTCATATACTTTAGAAGATTCGGTGTCCAGACTGTGATGTTTTAATGTTCCAAACCACCTTACCCTCAAAAGCGTAAGTTCAACTAATCACTTTCTATTCAGTATGATTCACAATCTAAATATTGGTATTTCGTATAACTCTTGTCATTTTTGCTTGCTTATTGGCAATCCTTTTTTTGTCAAGCAAAAGAATCTCTGATAATTTGACCACTAAGAAAAAAGCGCACTTTAAAAACTNTTATGTATTGAATTCCAAGACTGGTTTACTTACCCTTATTGATAACTTTATAACAACGAATTGTCGGTTGCAATAAATTTGTTTGGTTTCCAACTTAAATCGTCATATCAACTGATTTTCCCATCGTGTAGTGTATACAAATTCATTCCTAATCCAGAAATGTTGTGGGGTAAAATGATTCCCCCCCCCCCGTACACATTTTGGTTAATAATTGAGATGCTTTTCTGAAATTTTGTTTATGTCTGAAACACCCTGTTTTCAGGCTTAGAACCAGAATTTGTAAAGAAGTGAAGGATCATCTTCTAAGTTGCTCTTTAGATGAAGATTCAAGCTCGAAACGGTTCAAGGTATTTAGATTGTTTGAATTAGATATTCCGTTAGCAGTCTCTTCAATATAAGGATCATAGTAGTTCGTTCGTTTTTAAAAAATTTTATTTTTAAGATTTCCTTTTTTCATTATGCCGAATTTTGAGCCTGACAGAATTATATGGAAAAATGAAATCTATATAAGAACACGTTTTAACGATCTGTTTTTACTCTACAGAGGTTTGGTCCATCACCATCGCCGAATTTTAAATCGTTTTTTAATATTTTCCTAAAATTTTTATTTAAAAGTTTTATAAAAACAAACTATAACAGAAGTATACAGTTATGAAATCTTGGAAATCTTATTAAAAGCAAAAAACAATTAACGACCCTAGTCAAAAAGCATCAAATTTTTCTGTCTATACTATGTATCACATAGTAATTTTCTATACTGAGCCTCAAGCTGTTAAAAACGTTATTTGTAAGGTGTGTGTAAGCGAATTATTTCAATCTTAATGAAAAGCGTTAAACAATATTTTTGAAGTAGTTAATTGATAATACAATAATTAAATGTTTTCTATAAAAATATTTTTAAATAGATAATTTGTCGATATGGTGTATACTTGATCTATTTCTAGCAATTATCCCGACAGTACAAACCAGTAAACAGACTGATGATACAAACTGCAATCTGTGAGGCGGATACCGACCTTCTGGCGGAGTATCTACAAATCTACCAATCCGGCGGAATAAACGGCGGAAAATCGAGAGAAAAGTTCTTTGTTACTGTTCAATCTATTCTTAGGAAAGTTGTGTTCAATTACAGAGCTTTGAATCTCATTTTGTGATAAATTGGGAAATTATAGGAAATGGAACTAAAAGATTAACACGACACAAAAACAGGTAGAGAAAAAAATCGTATCTTAAAAGTGAAAATTGAGTAATTTTAATAATCAAAATATCGACAGCTTTATCAAAAACATCAGAATTAAGATACTAAAAAAGAGAGAAATAAAATGTTCTTGTAGTTTATCTAGTTCAGCTTCTAATCAGTATTACAAGTTCTCAGCTCAAATAAGCTAAAAATCTAACTTAAATAAGATTGCCAATTAATCCTTGATTCATGTCGAAAATAGTTTGAAATTTAATTTTGAATAAACTTTTCCAGTAAACTGGAAACCGTTCCTGGCAGTGTTCTAGAATTCCTTGGTCGCGAATTTGCACCCGTTCAGATTACCGAGGAGGACTTAAAACCGGAAGTAAAACAGGAACCTGGACCGGAATTAAATCGGGAACTTGCTGATATTATCGAAGTGAAACCACCAACCGAAGAACCGAGTGGAGAAATGCGGGAAACTGAAACTGACCTTGAAATCGTTCAGAAAGCCGCGGTTGATTCCCTGCTAACATGTTTAACTAGTTATGTTGCTGAACCTAGTATTAAAGCTGAGCCCTGTATTGATAATTTACCGTTTGTGGAGTTGGCTCCGCATGCGGAGGCATTGATCAAAGTGGAGGAACCGAAAAAGGAACCGTAGTCGTAAACTAGTAGTTTCATTTGCGGATCCGGAACCTGTAAACTTAAATTTAAATAAGTGGATCCGGATCTAGCTCATGAATATTTCCAAATTTGGACATTTTCTTTCACCAAAAAAAAATTCAAAAATTCTCTTCTTTTTTAACGGAGTTACCATTTAATGTTAAAAATCTTATTTGCATTCACTTGAAATGTGTGTTTTTGACGTTATGTCTTTTTTTCACTTGGATCCGGATCCGGGCTATGCTTTTAATGTACAAACAATTTAGTTAATCTGGTTTTTCTACATGAAATAGGTCTGTTTTGTTAAGGATTCAGCAACTTAATTGATATCCGCTGCGTACAATTTTCAATCATTGATTTAAACATAAGCTTGTGAATTATGTCAATATTAAGCCTTGATCCATTAAAGAGTCATGCTCCTTTTTTTATTTTTTATTTTTTATGCTTAATTTTAATATGTCATTCATTCTAATTCTACCACTAGATATTCATTCTGACAAATCACATAGTTTTTACGACAAAATTTATTTCATCATTTTTTCAGAGAAAGTAGAAGAACTTCTGGCTGCTTGGTTATAAACTCTGCTAAAAACAAGGTGGGTCTTTTTTTGTTATGGCGCAGTCTAGCAGGGGATAAAAATACATTTTTTTCCAGACTGTGACGCAAGTTGCGTTAGTAAGATCTAGGTTAGGTTAGGAGGATTAAGCGTTGGGAAGGAATATAATGAAAGAATTTAAAAAGATTGAATAGACTCTTAGGTTTCTTTTCTGTCCTTACCAAACCATTTTCAAGGATTTTGTTACAAATAATGATTTTCATTTGAAATATGAAGTTTTAAAATGTTGTTCCCTTGGTTTCAGTCCTATGTAAAGTGGTTGCAGAGTGGAGAGACTAGTATTGGTTGGATCCCCCTGTATCTTGGTACACCTTTATACCACTATATATACATATATACTAGACTAGTAGATCCTCATAGAACCGTTGGTTGCTCATACCTTTAATCATGTCTTGTACAAATATACCTAACAAACATTCGCTCACATAGTTGACCGGCGCTAGACTTCACTTTGATTACAAGTTTTGTTACTTAATAATTAATCAGACGAGTTTACAATCTAATTCTAAACATATTATTATTGATGCGATAATAACAAACTACCCATAGTCTTCCCAATTCCATAATGTGGTCTGCCTTTATTGTGCGTTTGAAAGAAAAAAAATTAAAGGGGCAAAATGCCTCCTGAGTCTAAAACTAAAGAATGCGCGAATTTTAAGTTCGAGGTTAAAAGTTCTGTAAAATAATGAATAGCGACTTAAATATTAAACTTTCTCAATTTTAAATTTGAATTTCCCGGGAAAAATCTGAACCAATCAGAGAAAAGGATTTTAACAAGGTTTTCACTTTTAAATATATCGTAAAGTTGAATGCCGCTTTCTCAGCTGCAGCTGAATGATGATTGAATAATAGACAAATAGGGAAAATGCAGGATTTCAAGATAATTTAAACCTCTGTTTAAATTTTAACTCGTCGATTTCGGCGAGTTAAATATTTAACCACAGGGTTAAATATTTAACCTCATGGTTAAAGTTCAGGTTTAAATTAAGTCAGAAGTGACATTTAACCATGAACTTAAATTTTAAGTCAGAACTTTTCATTCTTTAGTTTTAGACTCTGTTTAAATTAAATTTAATTAAATTAAATTTAGACTCTGGAAAATCATAAGGGGATGATGTTCCCTTAAAGTAGGATTCTATATTTTCTAAACATCTCTCTCAAGATATTTTTACAACTTCCAAATCGATTGAAATCAATTTTGATTATAATCGTGATTTGTTTTCCCTTCTCTCAAATCAACTTGAAAACCTTTATTAAACAAAAACAGAAAACTTTTTAGAAATTTGGACCCTAAAGAGAATTAACACCTCGTGATTAAATTATGTCTTATTAACTTGTGACTGAATGTTTGGAGCTTGTTATATTTGTAACAAGGCACATTCGTCAACTAACATTTTTTTCAGGGTTATTAATCTTATACTAATTTTTTAGGAATCTTTTTCAGGTTTTAGGTAGGTATGTTTTTGAATAATTCGTAACCAACGCATATCTTATATTTTGCAAATTGGCAAATTGCATAAATTTTCAGTTAATCTATACTTTATGTCTTCAGTTCCCAATAATCGTTCAATTTAATGAAAATATTACCAAAAATATCGTTAAAAAATATAATATCATTAAAATGTTAAAAAGTTGTGAAAAGAGCAACCAACAGTTTCTATGCTTAAGGATAGTTAATTCTTATGTAAAATTTACAAAATTACCAACAAAAATTTAAATTAACACAATTTGAAAAATAACTATGATAATAATATTGACAACATGACATAAAATAAAAGAAAATTTAATAATTATAAAATAAATAAAGAAATTAAATTTAAATAAAAATGTTGACAGTAACAAAGAAATATTCTATAAAAACCTCTTGTTAAATCCAGAAAAATTCGTTCAGTTTCTTTACAATATAAAATTATTTAATGTAATTTGCATCTCTTTTTTAACATATAAAATTTGATTTCAAATCTTGAAAACCTTGAAACTATTTTTGAACATTTCAATTAAAAAAATTCAAGAAAAGTGGAAATTTTAAAGAAAACTTAACATATTTTGCAGTATTTTGGACCAGTTTGTAACTAGGTCCAAAAACTCGTGTCATGGGACTGAAAAGCGGTTCAACGGCCCCTTGGGCCTCTCCCCACTCTCCATACCTTCAAACACGGAGATATGAATGCCTCTGGTAAAGTTGATATCTCAGACTCGGAGAAACAAAAACTAAAATCATTAAAAAAATTATGTTAAAGTTACTTTTATGTTCGTTTTGATATTACAAATTTTTGTGGAGATAATGAAATAGAAAAATTTAAAGCCATTTTCTGCATATAGAAAGAATTTTTCAGGTTTTAAATTAAATCATGTATGTTAAGGGAGCTGGTGCTGCCTAGAGTCGAGAATAATTCGTCCAGTTTCAGGATAGATCGAGCTCGTGGATTTTGTATAAACCAGTTCCCGGATTTTTACTAATTATTCTTTATTTATCAGGTTAAGAAGAAGACAGGATGACGGAGGATTCAGCCCCTGGAACACCAGGTATACATGAATTCAGGGTTTAAAGAGATTGTCACAATAGCACAAGTAAACCTCCAGTAGGAGTGCCGTCAACGATTTGTTACATAACCTTATCTTCATCTTTCCCCTCCGCAATTGAAAGCTAAATTTAGGGGAAAATAAGGTGGGGGGGGGGGGTTAAAAAGCTTGAAAAAAGATTGAGAAAAGCATGCGTAAATTAATACTTCCTGATGATTATCTTTGTAATTTACTAATACCCTGATATTTCAGGGGGTGGGGATAAATCCCCTTCTAGAGGAGGTGGACCACCTGGATTTGGGGGCGGAGAACCCCGTGGATTTGGTGGTGGCGGAGGTCCAGGATTTGGAGGTTAGTACATCAATAAATTTGATTGTAAATAAATAAATTGAAGTCAAAACCTAAAAATAAAAAGGATTCTTATTGTTAACCAAAATTAATTAGGTACCCTCCCCCCCCAGGATCTATGAAAGCATAAAAAATACGAAATAAGGAAATAATTCGAAAGTTTTGAAAAATATCGAAAGATCAATCCGGATTTGGTTTCATAGTTTATATAATCCGGATCCGAGTTAGCTTAAAAATAATATGTATCCTGAAAATTTAAAACTTGTAAATTCTTCCAGGGCCTGGAGGTCCAGGAGGCCCAAATTTTGATGGACCGAGATTCGGAGGACCTAGACCAAATTTTGGAGGTGGACCGGGTTTCGGTGGAGGTCCTGGAGGTCCAAACTTTGGTGGTCCAGATGGACCTAGAGGATTTGGGAACAGTCCAGATAATTTCCGAGGTCGAGGAGGATGGAGAGGATCTCCCAGAGGAATTTGATTCATTCATATTCTATATTTTAAGAATTCTACAAATATTTCCAATCTTTTTATAAAGTTTTTACTTCTTAACTTGTTATTTGCTGATTTCCTTTTGGTCTCTAGATATCTGTTTTGTTCTCAAAGAACAGCGTTCTGCACTTTTTCCCATGTCCATACTGTTTCATGTTTACTGTCCCAAACACAGATCTATGATGGAGATATAATTTAAAATATTCAAATCTATTTACTCATAGATATAACCAAAGAGAATAGAATATATATTAGAAGGGAATTTACTAGAAAAAAGTGTAAAACGGCCATTTTGTTGTACTGTTTCCATACTGCAGGTGTACTTCACATATTTTTGCTATATAACCTTTTGGGCCCTGGAATATCATTTTATAGAAAATCTAAAATTAATGTTAAAAGTAAACCAAATTATGAAATAGGCTGGTTTCATAATTGACTAATGATCATTTCACATAGACTTTATGCCTTTCACTTTACAAACGATGATTTTCCGTTATAACTATAAATCAAATGATGTTTTTTATTCACCTAATTCATTATAAAGTTTATTTAACAGCTTTAAAAAATTCGAATTTGAAATGAATAGTCTAGGGAACATACTGTATTAATGTACTCTACTGCATATAATTTGTGAACATTTACATGATTTGTACACTTTGAACTCCCTTTCAGGCTGAAAGGGACTGAAAAAATTCATACCGGGAGATTCTTTAAATTCCCCTCTAATATATATTCTATTCTCTATGGATATAACAGTTTGAGATGTTTCCCAATTTTATTTACATTCATATTTCCCCGTCTAAAAAAATGAATGATCTTATTCGGTGTAGGATTCGATCGCGGTGGATTTGACCGTGGAGGATTCAGAGGACGTGGAGGATTCGATCGAGGAGGTCCTGGTGGTCCCGGTGGTCCAGGAGGTTTCAACAGAGGAGGGTTCAATCCACGATTTGGAGGTAATGACGGATGAATCAATTTTTTTATTTTTTATTTTAGCTTTATTTTCAATGGTAACCACATTACAGCTTTTTCAGGCCCATTTAGGGGCCGAGGGGACTTTGGTCCACGTGGAGACTTTGGTCCGCGTGGAGACTTTGGCCCACGTGGAGACTTTGGCCCACGTGGAGACTTTGGCCCACGTGGAGGTTTTGGTCCGCGTGGAGGTGGACCTGGACCAGGCTGGGGGGATCCTAACTGGGGCCCACCACCCCCAGGAATGATGGGACCAAATGGTCCAGGACCCGGAGGTCCCATGCCTCCTTGGATGCAGGGACCAAGAGGACCAGGAGGCTTTGGACAAGGTGAATTTTCAATTTTTTAATTAAAAAAATATTATGATTGTCACAAAAACGAAAAAGAAATTATACAACATTATTTGTTGATGAAAAAAAAAAATTGTTATTTAGGACCAAGGGGGCCGTTTAATGGTCCTGGTGGAGATGATGGCAGAGAAGGTGTACTGGGTAAGGGACCGGGGGGACCTGGGGGAGATCTTGGTATTGATCTATCCGGAGATGTTTGGGTCGCTACACCAGCAGAAGAAGGTAGGAATGGTTAAAAGTAAAAAATTAAAATCCCCGAAATAAATATAGTGGAATACATGACTTCTGATCTGAGAAAGAGTTCAAAGCAAGTTGTTAGTCATATTTTTGATAATCTTCTGAAGTCTTTCACTTATTTGACAAAAATTATTTTGTAGGATTTACGTTTTTACTGCGCTCTTTAAACCCAGTAAACAGCGTCCGAATTAAATCAATTTAAGCTGCGTCTCAAATTCCCCAAAAACCGGCTTCAATTGAGCGCCGGCTTAAATCTTGAAAAATTGAATACAATTTTAAGTGAAACCAACCATATTTGAACCGAGGCTCAAATTGTTTAAATTCGGCCACATGACTACTTATCAGAAACTGGATGAAACTCGTAAAACAAAAGTTGGCTAACATTAGCTATTTGTTGTTTTTCTTATACAATTGTTGTTTTAAATTCCTATAATTGTTCAGTATTAACCTAGCAGGGTCAAACAGTGGGTTAAACCAGCAAAATAATGTCGCATATTTCCTAGGTAAAGTTTATTACTACAACGCCCAGACCAGAGCTACACAGTGGGACAAACCAGAGGGACCGGATGTAAAAATCTTAACACAGGTCAGATTTTTAGATTAACTTATCAGGTGGTTTTATTCACATAATCAATTATAATTTTTAGTGACTGATAATCATAAGAAAAATATAGAAATGATTTCAAATATTTAGGAAGAGGTTGATAATATTCAGAAGAAGATGGGAGAGAAGAATGAGAACAAGGGACCAGATGGACCTGGAGGTCCTGGTGGTCCAGGAGGACCAGGTCCCGGGGGACCAGGTCTTGGTGGACCAGGATTCCCAGGCGGACCCGGCGGTCCAGGATTTCCCTTCGGAGGTCAAGGTATGCCTTTCGGAGGGCCGGGTGGTCCTGGAGGACCAGGAGGTCCCGGCGGTCCTGGAGGGCCTCCCTTTGGGGGAGGAATGCCTCCATGGGTGGGACCAGGAGGTCCGGGTGGTCCCATGGGACCTGGTGGTCCAGGAGGTCCACCTACCCCCTGGATGGATAAACCTAAATGTGCGTGGACTGAACACAATGCTCCAGATGGGAAGAAATATTACTATAACAGTGAGACTCAGGAGAGTGTTTGGGAGAAACCTCAAGAACTTAAAGATTTCGAGGTAACTAGGAAATATAAGATTTCGAGGTAACTAGGAAATATAAGATTTTGAGGTAACTAGAAAATATAAGATTTTGAGGTAATGAAGAAATATAAGATTTTGAGGTAACGAAGAAAAATAAGATCAAGGTTGAATTGAGATTTCCTTTTCTTTTTACGCGAAGAATTCAATATTTTAACTGTGGTTTAATATTAACATGTCACTTCTTAAATGAAGGTCTACTTAGTATTGTTGGATAGTTCTTATCAGATTTAAATAGTCATTAGTTGGCAACTAAGTATATGGATTAAAAATCGAATTCTTCCCCTAAGTGGATAAATTAAATTAGTAAAAGAGAACAAGTTCTAACATCAAATGGGTTAAAATTACGTGAATTTGAAGTATAAAAATTCATGGGAAGGAAAGGAGGAAAAAAAATTTGGTGGGAAATTCTAAAGTAAATCACAGTTTTAATTATTTTTGCAAGCTTCAAATCTTGAAGGTTGTTATTTTAGAGAAATTATATGAACCTGAATTGTTTCTAGGAGAAGGGAGGAGATAAGGATGATGATAAACCTAAATTCTTTACTCCCGCTTTCCTCAAGCTCGGACAGGACGCGGAGAAGGCTCAAGTGGAGACTGCTAAAGCTCAGAAAGCTGCTGAGGCTGCGGCCGCTATTCTCCGCAAACGGAACCTGGACGGACTCGGAGCTGAGGTTAAAGTAAGTAAAAAGAAAATACTTCATTAATCCATTAGTCATCATTTAATTATCAGATCTAATTTTCCCGCCAAAATTATTAATTTTCGTTGATTTCAGATGGAAGAGAAACCCAAGGAGCCACCAAAGGATAAATCTCGTCCTATATCCAGCACTCCCGTCCCTGGCACACCCTGGTGTGTAGTTTGGACCGGAGACAGGAGATCCTTCTTCTACAATCCAACTACCAAAACCAGCGTCTGGGAGAAACCAGCGGAGATGGTTGGACGGAGTGATGTTGCCAAGATGTTGGAATCTCCGGAGGGAGCGGAGGAGTTTAAGAAGAAACAGCAGGAGAAAGCCCTCCCTGTTATTAACGACGAGCCGGCGATCAAGAAGGCAAAGATTGAAGAGATCGAGGAGATCCAGGAGGAGGAGGTGGAGGACGAGGTTACAGTTATCAAGGAGGAGAAGAAGCGTGTTGCTCCGGGTAAGGAAGCAGCTATGGAGGCTGAGGTCCGAGCTGCTAGGGAGAGAGCAGTGGTTCCTCTGGATATTAGGATGACCAAGTTCAAGGAACTCCTGGAGGAGAAGAAGGTGTCAGCATTCAGGTAGGACAACAGGGCCGAGGTGTTGAGCATTTTCTCAAATGTGTTCAAACATTTATTAAAGTATTGATACATCAGTTCATGATAGAGTATTAAATAATTAGATAATTTTAATTAATTAAATAATTAAACGATGATTATTGATTAAATAATAGAATTGAATAATTAAACTGATTTTGATACAACCTTGGACACTTAAAAAGAAATTAACAATGGCACCCTTTAAACCCCAATTGACAGGAAATTCTTGTTTTTATCTTTGCAAATTCTGCAAATTTACTTGTTTCTTCTCTACAGATAAGCAAGACCTTTAAATAGGGAAATCATAAAAAACAATACTTTGCTGAGATGGAGGTTTAAAGGGTACCGTGGTGATCCTAACAAGTAACTGTTTAGTTGGAGGGTTCCATAGAATTATGTTGACAGTCCCATTAACTAAATATTATTTCAGCACCTGGGAGAAGGAACTGCACAAAATTGTGTTTGATTCTCGTTATCTTCTACTCACTAGTAAAGAGAGGAAACAGGTTGGTTAGTTAAACATAGAATAACAATCATAATAACGTTTATTGCTAAATATCAGTTAAATTTACAATATTGTAACTCAATAATATTTTCTTCTACTTAAAATAGTGAAAAGATATAGTTAACATAGCTGTTTGAATGCCATATTCCGAAGGAAAGGATTTTTGATCTGGTTATTTGGATCTTTCAGTGTTAAAATTTTAGTTCTTGTAGGAATTGTTTGTTATTTAAAAGTATGCAGATATTAAAAACAGATCTTCAGAAGGGGGTGATCTTCTTCATGAAAATATACAGTATACTCCCCTTAATGCATCTCCTTGTTAACTAGGTGTTTGACAAGTACGTGAAGGAGAGAGCTGAGGAGGAGAGGAAGGAGAAGAAGGCAAAGGCTCGGGAGATCAAGGAGAACTTCAAGGAGCTCCTGGAGGAGGCAGACTTAAACGTAAAGAGCAGTTACTCTGAATTCTCCAGGTAGACATTCATAACCAAATTAAATGTTCACTGTGTTTTCAGGAGATTCTTATATATTTTATTCCTCTCATTTCTTTAATTTTTATATTTTACTTGTGAAGGATGTTTTTAGAAAGATGAATGATATCGAACATATACATCTTAAACCAATTTTTGCCAAATTTGTCCTTACTTTCTTTTTTCTTCATATAGTTAGTTAGACGCGTAAAAAATATTAACTTGAAAAGACTTTTAACCTTTTCCTACTTTTTTAGCTAATAACCAATCCAGAAATTTAGTCATTACATTATAGGTTTATAACAGTTTTTCATTTATTTTGTTACATAACTACACAGTTATCCATCTAAAAAATGAAAACTAAATGCTTTGTTTTAGTTGTTATAAAAATTGTTTAATAATTGTTAAACTGTTTTTAAAATATAGAGATACCAAACCTTAAACTGAAAATTAGATACTTATATTTTGCTAATCAGGGAGCATGGGAAGGACTCCAGGTTCAAGGCTGTTGACAAGACGAGGGACAGGGAGGGACACTTCAACGATTTCATCATGGAGCTGAGGAAGAGGGAGAAAGATGAGAGGGAGGAGAAGAAGAAGAATGCGAAGAAGGAATTTAAATCTCTTCTCCGGGATACGGAGGAGATTGATAGGCACAGTCATTGGTCTGATGTCAAGAAGATTATTCAAGATGATTCAAGGTAATAATAATTCCTACATTACATGTTTCATATCCCCCCCCCCTTAGATAATCTTTGAAGGAATTAAAGCATCTCGTGCATATTAAGATTGCAAAACACAACTAATCGGATAAATTTTAGAGGACAAAAGGAAATATCACTTTGTAGTTCAAAGAAAGTAATCGAATATTTTTTAAGATTGGTATAATTTTATTCGGTTTTAGGTATTCCAACATTGATTCCAGTTCACAGCGTGAAGATCTGTTCATGGATTATATACAGGAGCTTAAAGACGAATACAGGTGTGAATTTCTACAATATTTTCCTAGATATGGTTCATTTTACAAATTTGATATAAAATCTTATTATTACTTTAAATGTAAAATATGCCCCAAACTTTGATAAAAACATATATCAAGTTTTTGGATTTCCGATTCACAACGGTACCTTAATAACTTCAATTCAACAAAGCGAAACCACATTTTTACTAATTCAATTTTCAGTAAAATGAGGTTGGCTCTTTAATGTATAATCAGAGAAAGGGTTTACGGTTAGGGTTACTTGAAATTATGTCAAGAGACCCTTATTGTTAACAATATTAATAAACAGGAACAGCAAGAAGAAGGAGAGATCCCGATCCCGAGGCCGTCGATCTCGATCCCGATCTTCCAGGTCTAGGTCCGGGTCCAGGGAGAAGAGAAAGAAGAAGAAGAAGGACAAGGATAGGAGCAGGAGCAAGGATAGAGTGAAGAGGGAGAAGGAGGAAGGGGAAACTTCGGGGGGAGAAGCAGACTCTAAGAAGAAAGAAACCAACGGAAAAGAAACGGTAAATGTTATTATTGTCTTTTTTAGTAAACATTGGGGTAACCCAAAAACTGAATGTAGGAATCAAAGTTCAATCTCACAGATACGTTGGTACCAACGGTTTAAGAATAAGAGTTTTTATTCTTTATTCTTCGGATGTGTGTACAACATTTAAGGACAAAACTTTGTAAACTTTATCAATCTACACACCATAAACACTCAGGTGAGTCATTACCACCTACATCTAGGGTTCCAATACATCTGATTTCATTATGATCAGATGTTTCGATAATAACCTGGAAGTAGGAATAAGCTCCTTGTATGTGAACAAAACCGGAATATTTTAATACCGTATACATACAGGGTTGGTGAAATAAGTAATAATGCTATCTATAAATTTGAGTACTCCACAAGAAAAATTATTGTAAAACACATAATTAGAAGCTAGGAGAATTGATGTAAACTTTTTCCAGTTGTTTTTTGGCGTTATTCACTATGTTGGGAAAAACAAATGAAATTAAATATGAAAAGATTAGAAAAAAACTTTCCCGTCTGATGTCTGATTTTGTTCCTTTTTTCCAGATCATCGCAAAAAGTTTTCCTAAAAGTACAGACCCCTGGGAAAATGATGTATTTATAAAAAACAAATTGAACGTAAATGTTTAGAACGGTGACATGAGTGAAAACGAGGAGGATAAAGAGAAGAGGGAGAAGGAGGAGAGGGCGGCGGCCAGCATCAGGAAGAGGGAGGAGGAGGTCAAGGAGCAGATGGCAGGACACCTCAGGGACAGGGACAAGGAGAGGGAACAGCATCAGCATCATGAAGCAGGTTAATATCTATCTATTATGACTCCCTTCCCCCCAAAAAGCCCACAGGAATCCACTCCTTCCACCAATCCATTAATACCCCATATCGGAAATATTTAGATAGATGAGTTTGCATGACGCGTGCAATGATGCGCGAGTATAGGATAGAGTTTGCCGTAGCCACCTCTAATAGTACTCTAAAACATTGTACAACATAGAACTTTCTTCATTCCTTCAGATTCATTATTCACTGCCCCCCTTTATTTATTCCATGTTTTTCATAGTTTATTTTATTAACATTAGCAAGGTTGTTTTTATTTACTAAAATAGCTGTGAAAAAAATACATTAAATTGTTTTACATTTAAAATAAAATGTGAAATTTTATTTATCCAATGAAATTGTTTTAGTGAATGGATTCTCTGCAATTCTCACCGATTTAATCAGAACCCCAGACTTCAGCTGGAAAGAGGCTAAAAAGGTAATTTACTTATCATTTTAGAAACGGAACTATTTCTCCTCAACTAAAACTATTGTGTACTTTTTTATACTGGTATGACCTGAAAATATAGCTAAACAAATTATTGTGGTCTTTGAGCTAGTTTTTAAATTGGACTTCACTGAGGCTCCATGAGAAGGAGACTAGTTTCAAATTGTATAAAAGTATGCCCTGCTATTTGTACCTAAATTCCTACCAATTCTTTTGAAAAATCAGCAATATTTTATTTCCGGAAAAGATTTGTTAAAACTGGACGAAAATTAAAGTCGTCTTTTAATGAGTAATGGAGCCATTTAAACATTTCTGAAGTCCAGCGAAGTTTTTCTTGCAATCCTGTTAATGTTAATATTTTAATAATTTAAAAAATAATTTTTGCCTAATAATTCTTAATATCTCACTTGGATGTTATACGCTTAACAATACATATGATTTGGCATTTGCTTTAATGCAATGAGTTGGACAGGTCCTGTTAATAAATAAATATTTATTCTGTTAAGATTTTGAAGAAGGATTCCCGATGGGAGTCCCTGACCCTGGAAAAGGGTGAGCGTGAGAAACTGTTTGATGAACATATTGATCGTCTTGTACAGAAGAAGAAGGATGCTTTCCGTAGTCTACTCGAGGAACTCAAGGATACGCCTCTAGATGCATCATTCAAGGTACAGGGGTGTTTATTTTCGGAAAAACTCCCTCCCCAACCAATTAGTTGCTCTTCATGAGTTATGAGCTATGTGGAAAAAAAATTTCTGAAGAGTTTCTTCTGTCTGATTCCCTTAATCCACAACCTCCCATTTTTGTGGAAAGTAAGCTGTTTTTTTGGGGTTGGGGGGGGGGTTTGATCAATATGCGTGTTAAACAATGTTTTTGTTTGAAAACTTTCTTTTGTCTGATTCCAGATTAAAATTCAAATATGTATGTATATGTAGTAGTAACTCGACTACGGGCTGATGATAAAGTTACATCTTAAGGTTGACTACAAAAGTTTAAGATATCTATATAATCCTAAAATTAGTTATTTGTTTTCAAATGCTGACTCAGCGGAATCCTAATTTTTGGTATTCAAAGGATTTTTATTTAATCCCATCTCATCAAATTAAAGCATATATTTAAAATGATTTTTTTAACAATGAATACAAAATGAACATGAAGCTAGAAAGAGGGAGAATTTTGAGTTCACGTGAAATTTTGATTCAGATTCTAAGAAAATGATCATCAACATAATTTCCACAAAATACTTGTAACTTTATTGTGTAAATCTTAATTTCTGATTTGTGTTAAGGATATAAAGAAGGGTATCAGAGATGATCCTCGGTTCACTAAGTTCTCCAGCTCCGAGAAGAAGTGTGAGAAGGAGTTTTACGCCTGGCTCAAGGATAAAACCCAGCAGGCCAGGGATGAATACAAGATTCTTCTCCAGGTTCGTTTAAAATATATTTCCTCGGGGTAACAAGGCACTTAGCAGTTAGTACATCTCTCTATAGGTCTTCTTAGCTTTGTATTGCTTGTCTGTCTATATGGCGTTCTCTTTCGTAAATTTCAAAATAATGAAAATAAGCATTTATTGAGGCAACATTTTCAATTTACATTTAACTTTCACATTTTTGGAAAAGTTGTTTTATTGTATATTGTATATTGTATATTGTATATTGTATATTGTATATTGTATATTGTATATTGTATATTGTATATTGTATATTGTATATTGTATATCACTATTATAAATATTATAATTGTATCTACCAAGTAATGATTCCAAACGAACCCCTGGTGGCATAAATTACGGAGGATGGGATTAGCCATTCTATGTCTTAATTATAAAAACGAAAAATTCTGTAAATTCATTTTCGACACTTCACGCACTATAGTTTCAGTAAAAGTAAATATTTCCATTTACTTTTAGCGCCGAATAAAGGATATATAACTCTAATTGGATTAATGAGATAGAAAGAAAGATAAATGTTACCGCCATACTATTCCTATTGGTTCAGAATACACAATAAACACATGATTGAACCCTGATTGGATCAAGCGCTAATGGACTCGGCATACAGGAGTGCATCGTTGGCCACCTTTTTTCTACAGGATGATGATTTACTGGTTATCAACTTGCTATTTTTACTGTTTTTTATTTTTGTTAATTTTCTGGTTGTTATTAAATTTGTTATTTTTAACCATGACTTGATGTTGAATTTGTTTAGGAGACGAAGATTATCACCTACAGATCCCTGGAACAGATTAAAGAGAAGGATGGTAACCATATGGAGGAGATTGAAGAGATACTCTGCAAGGACAGCAGGTCGGTTTTTATCAGTTTATCCAAGATTTTGCTATTTATGAATATGTAAAATCTAGCTTTCTTAAAAACGGGGAGTTTCTAGACACTCTTTTATTAATTAAAGATTTGAACAGGAAAAAACACGCACATGTAAAAAAAAAATTCACGATGTTCCTAGAACAAAGTCTCCACTCTTCAAGGTACTAGTTTACATTCTGCGGACTTGAATTTAAATCAAATGGATTCAGTTATATTTTCGACTTTCTGATCAACAATTTTTCTTCCGTCGATCTAGTAACATGAGTTCTAAGTTAACCTAAGAATATTTTTAAGACATCAAACTTTTAAGATATCAATGTAAAATGTTAAAATCAGATATTCTGTGTTAAAGCTACTTGAAGCTGCTCAACAAAATAATTTCTATTTAGGTACCATAAGATGGAACCTTTGAACGACGACCGAGCTGATATATTGATGGCCTATCTTGAAGAACTTGAACGAAAAGGTCCTCCACCTCCACCAACAGCATCCGAACCTTCCAGAAGAAAATAATTTGCGGCATTTTTAATTCTCTGCGCACCACGCGGTTGGAGAATTTTCCTATTCTTCTTGTGAGAAGTTAATACATACGTGAATTCCAACATGTCAGTCATTATTTTGTTTTCAATTCTACCATGTTTGACCATATCTTATTTGCAATTATTTCTTGTCAAGTTATCCTGTACATTTACAAATACAGTTTTCTTGCATGTTTGACGCATTTTAGTTGGAATAAATTTTGAACCGGGAATAACAATTTTTTAATTATTCTATTTATTTTGTTTTTCTTCATTCGCATTTTAAAATTCCTTTTTGAGATTCTCAGTCTCGTATACGGAAACTAAAATAGAAGTCATAAGAGAGTAGAGATGCCAAAACAATCATTCATATTTTATGGCTGAGCATTTCCATTAGAAATATAGAAATAATTTTGAGAAAAAGCAAAATGTAATTTGTAATGGTTTCCAAGTCATTTTTATTATTTTGTAGCAAAAAAATCTAAAATTTCACAGCACGGCGCACAAATAAATGAACTTTTTGGAAGGGCACAACAAAAATTGAAGTTCGGGACCTTTCTGATATAAAATATTTTTTATATTTTTACCCTTAATCAATCAAATAGCGATAGCTCGTTCCGTTTTTGTAAAACTTTCTCGCCATTTTCTTTTCTTAAAGACATTCTCTTCTTGTACGAATTGTACGGTGACTGTTGGGAGAATCCAATCGTATTTGAGCTTTGCAATTTTTGCGTCAGTCTTATTTAGCCATAGGCCATCCCTGCAACTTATGATTTGATATGATTTTGAAGAAAACATTAAAATATCTACTTCTTTTATATTTAATACGAAGGCAACGCCGGAAACCAGTGTTTCATTAATCATCAATAGTTTCACTACCAAAATAGCATCAAACTAAAACAATTTCATTTGCAATTGCCGTATTTGTTTTAAACTTAAACTGCAGTTAATTAGAACTAGTAGGGTTAAATAAAAAAAATAGGATTGGAACAAATTTATTTTGCAACCCTCATTCCATAATTAGGTTAATCACATAAATAATAGGCTTACAGCTATGCTTTGTATACACTTGCGAAGTTTTGATTCTTTTCTTTGTAGACCCTGAAGACAAAACTTTTGTGTTATAAATCTCAATTTTCAAGATTAAGCTTTGATCTTGATCTTAATCAAATTCGAATTCCTCTTCGATAGCAGGATCCTCAAATTTAAAAGTGACCACATTGGACATCGAGATCAAACGTTTAAGGTTAGGGAGACTACACAGAAAAGTTTTGACCTCAGAATACTTTTGATTTACAAGTTTCCAAGCACAGACAGCTTTAAGAGAAAATTTATAGCAGACAGTTTGTACATTCATGGCACGAAAGCTTGGGGCACATCATAATATGATGTAATACATTAAAAAATTGAATTAAACAAGCGCAATCATCTTTTGATATAAATTTTCTGAAAATAATTTACAAATACAAAAATTAATAAAATTTAGGAAGAAAGTTTGATTGTGAGATAGTTCACTAATGTTAAAGACAATAATTTGTCAAATATCCAAAACACGTTTTTACACGTGGATTTTGAACCCGTCATAAGCACTCTGATGTGCCAATAGTTGAAAAGAAATGTTTTCATAAATATCAGCTTTACAGGTTTAAGCGATGAAAAGGTCAACACGAGGAGAGAGACATGCAGGTTAAAACATATATCTTAATACATTTTGTAGTTTAAGAACAAAGAAAAACAATATAACAAGGATTTTGCTTCTCTTGGTGTACAAATAGTGCAGTTCAAGCTCGGTGTATGCGACAAGGTAGGGTTTCCAACGCAAGGGATTTTACTTGCGAGCCGTGTAAACTCCGCGCAACGAAATTCCGACTGGAAACCCTAGTACAAGGTTACCCTTAAGGGATGAGACTTCAGAGACGATTGTAAGGATTTTTTCTTAGGTTTATAATGGTTTCATGTAGCTGTAAACTTGATTTTTTTGCCAAACTATTTATAGTCCTTAAAAGACTGTATCCATGGCAGCAACCTAAAATTCTACCTCCATAGCGCTATATATAAGTGTTCGGCCGTTTTGAAGTCGCATCCTTTGTTTTAGGAACCCTGTCTATGGTATGGCAGTGCACAACTGCACAAGATTAGCAAATATCTCGTTATAAGAACAAAATGATAATTAAAACTTTTTGTTTGTTTATAATTGTGATTTGCCGGCCGGCCAGTACACAAGAAACCAGCTGTGAACATCGGCCGACTTGTTTTTCTCGTCGTCCTAAAAACTCAAATTTACTCCATTTTTTAAATTTTGTTTCAGATTCTTTCAAAGCAATAACAGTTTATTAAACAGACCTTTACACATCTCTTAAGCAACACTCGTGAGAATTTTGGCAATTACTTCAAATAAACTGAATGCCTCTTGCCATAATTATTATTTACTGTTATATTGTATTTTCGTACTTACTACATGAAGACCAACCTTAAATATCAATGTCACTAAAAAAAACTTTTTGCGCATTCAAATTTAAAAAGAGCTTGTCAATGTCTTAAACTTAGATAAATAGTTTAAATTCTTAGATAGTAAACAAACATTTATTTTCAATTAAAAAATATCATTTACCCTATTTTATCTGAATAATCAAATATCATTTACCCTATTTTATCTGAATATCATTTACCCTATTTTATCTGAATATCATTTACCCTATTTTATCTGAATATCATTTACCCTATTTTATCTGAATATCATTTACCCTATTTTATCTGAATATCATTTACCCTATTTTATCTGAATATCATTTACCCTATTTTATCTGAATATCATTTACCCTATTTTATCTGAATATCATTTACCCTATTTTATCTGAATAATCAAATTATTATAAAACCCCAACTAAAAGATAATAATTTGTCTTATATGTACACTGTAATAAAAAACTGTGAAACAGGAAGACGACTTATAGATTTAAGTTTTGCAATATAAATAGGCCTATGAACAATGAACATAAGAGAAAATAATTGTACATTTTGCAAGAATATTTCATTATATTTTTAGCTACTATTATAGCTTTTTGCTTTAAAACCTCATCAAATACACTTAATGGCTGCTTTAATGTCGTATTTCTATTCGACTTATTTTTGGTTGTCACTGTATGCTAAAAGTACCTTGTAAACAACCTTAGCTGACACATCAGCGCTAGCAACCAGCTGCCAGTTCATCCTCGTAGCAGCTTGTAGCAGGTAGCACATGAGGGATCTTAAAAATCAGTTTAAAGGGACTGCTCCTAATTAAAGAGGTATATGACCGATTCACAGCGCTTTCCTTTAAAAAACTTAGCTTGCGTTACATTACAATCAGAAATATATTATAGTTTTATATCTGGAAGAGAAATTAATGTTAATTTCCCTTTTATCCAAATTAAAATGAATCATTTTCCTCACCTGCCATGGGAACTCTCTCCTGATCCTTGATCCCAGGGAAACCCTTCAAGATCAACTTGATGGCAGTATTCAAACTTGATCTTGATTTTACTGATTTTAGGTAGATAATAGTTAGACACTACATCAACCAATTCCTATAAAGACGTTCACGTTCACGTTCACGTTCACGTTCACGTTCACGTTCACGTTCA